CATGTATAAGCCCGCCCCTGATGATATTTAATAGATATTCAGTGCTTATCTTATCTTTCCCATCTTTGATCAACTATCAGAATCACATATTGTCGTTAAAAGTTATTACATTCGTTTGAAATCTAAACGTTGAGGAAAGAATCGTGCAATCGCATTCACCACTAATAAAGAAAATTTACTTTTCAGCTTCAAATCGGTTTAGTTTTATCTAGTATTGTTATTATTTTCGATGGTTATGACACAAGTTCGATATGTTTTTTAACTGTATCGTGGTCTTTACTTTCCACAAGTCTCCCTCATTTATACCTTACCATTATAGTTGCCGCGAGGGGGGTGCTTCACGGTGCATCTCCTGGAAATTTAAATTAAATGTCTAGATAGACTTCAAAGTTAAAACGTTATGAAAGAGGAGAATATCAGTAGTCAATAAAATTAAAATAATAGAGTTGTCAAATGTAATTTTTTAATATCAAACAATATGTAATGTAATCTTCATTTAACTAAAAACAATAATCAGTTAGTCAATCAACGTTTACAGTAATTATTTTTTATTGTAGTTAATATTCTTTATCACTTTTGGAACAAAAACCTCATCCGTCTAGACTGTTGTCCAAATTCTTTGATGACTTTATTTTAAATTTTAAAACGACTTAAGGTGGAATCGCACTAAGCAATCGCGGTCTCGTTGCATCGCGATCTGTGCTAGTCTCTAGTTTTTTGTCCAAAAAAGCACTTTTATGTGATTTGATATGGCATTCCAAAGAAAATTACTTACAAATTTTAAATCGATTGATTTCGGAAAATATGCAATATTTTCATATCCTGCATGAACCATATCGTAGGTAAAAGTCTTCTTACTATTTATTTTTCTAATTTGTTTGAAATCGTGCTTAAAATAATTTTTAACGGTATATTTGAGATGAAATAAAATGGGGTTGTTTTAAACGATTGGTTTCCTTTTAAAATAATAAATTTATCAATTTTCAATAGTAAGACGACCTAAGTTAGACCTTCGTGTTTCATTTGGCTAAAACTTAGATTTTTAAATAGTATATATTCGGAATTCCACTTACTTTGAAGCTGTAAATAAGATGAAATGATAAAAAATGTCTCCAATTAAAAAATTGAAGATGATATTTTGTTAAATCAAAATTTTCTCATCCTATAAAATAAAAGATCTTTTAATGGCATGTAATAGTTAGTTACTACATTTATCATCATAATTAAATTAAAAAACTTCCAAATTTTAACCAACTTCAGTCAAAAATAAATATTTTTCTTAAATAACCAATATTCGCTATACATTTATTTATTTTACAAAGTTTCATGTTCTAGCAGAACCCGCAATATAACTAGGGGTGTCTCATTTAAAGCAAGAAAGTTGACATCTACTTCTAGTATAAGAGGAAATGACAGTACTTTAGACAGAAAAATAAGTTTTTTACTAATTTTTAACAAAACCCATCCACTCCCATGAAGGTCAGATATAGACAGTATTGTAATATGCACATTTATAATTTATCATCTAAATAACTGTATTTTGTACCTTGTATAGTTTAAATAATAAACATATTTACAAAAACTATCTAATTCTATATTTAGTTTAATTATTCTGGAATTTTATTGCAGAAAACCAATATTCACAAGCATCAGGTAAACCGAAAATGTTGGGAACCAATTTACATGATATTTTCAATCCTCATTACCATGGAAACCAATTTACAAGGTCTCTTATATGGAATAAAAATATTTATTTATCTACTAAGGAATTGTGTATGTCTTGATCAACAGTAGTTTTTTTGTATTATAACCGTAGAAATAATTTAATTTAATATGAGATTAATAAAATAAGTATTGTAAAATATTTAAGAATATAAAAAATGTCTAATAAATTTTCCTAAAGCCGCTCCTGTCGCTGCTGGCCGGCCCTCGTAATTTCTCGGACAGTATTCAACCGCATTTCAACGTGGTCCATAGGCACAGGCAGCGGCAGCATTCACATCCACCCGCACTAGAGCAAACCTGTTATTACAGCTCTTGGTCATTGTCCGCGTACTTTACTTGCTCTGTATGACCTAAATGGAGCACACCCAAACTATACCGATCGCTATACAGGGTGTTCCAATAAAAAAAATGATATTTTTATAATCTATAACGTTTGAAATTTTTGTGATGGCATTAAATATTCAATAATTGATAATATTATCAAAACAAATAAAGGGTGAGGCAGAATAATTTATTATTTTGTTAAAGAACATAAAAAAGCATTACCTAATGATGTTATTTTTTGACAATAACTCCGAGAAGATGATGTCCATTCAGGAATGCACATTCTTCCAATCGTGATCTGAAATCATTCATTACATACGGCAGTATTGCCAGGGGAATGGGGAATTTGGTCCACTTCCTATCAGATCCGTTCTTTCAAGGTTTTAATTGTTTGTGGTGGTTTATCTTTACATTTCAAGAAACCCCAAAAAAAAACGCACGTTGTGAGGTCTGGTGAATGGGGAGGCCAGGTGATATCCCCATTTCGGGAAATCACATGATTTGGAGATAACCCCTTTTAATAAAACGCTTTCACAGCGTACGCAAGCTCCATTATTTCTAAATTCTAATACACAGGAAATATGGCCGTTAGCGTCTCTACCACCTCCTAATGATACGGCGCGGTTGTCGGTTTTTTTTTTAAATCGCTTGTTATTCTGTCCTACTTGATTATTTATAAATTTGAACCTTTTTAAATGAAAATGGAATAAGTAATTACACGATTAAACACACATTTTGTGACACGTTAATTTTTAGTTTTTTCTGACATATTTCGAACACCCTAAAAGCGAATATATCAGCAGTGACGAATATACCGTGTTAAGAGACATTCATTCCCGTCAGATATTGTGGAGGCACTTTCCAGAAGTACTGCATTTCCTATTTGAAATTGAACATAACACATATACCTACGCCATTTTATCTGTCACAACAAAAAAATGCATTTTTCTTTACCGCAGTCTTATTTATTCAACAAACGATCACTTTTGACGAGTGTGAATGTTGACGCACGAGCACGAGTGTGACAATCACATGAATCAAAAACAGGACCTTTGCACGCGAATTGCATACAATATTTTTTCTACTGCGATAACTGCGTTACCTACCAAAACTAATATTATTTTTCTTATCGCACGAGTAAAAATAAATTACCTAAGTCTAATTTCCCATTTTACAAATAACACTGGATTACATAATACGTAATATATTTCTTTTTCCAACCAAAATTAAAACTTAAAATTTTATCATAAGATGTAGATTGAACGAAGTTATAAATTATTGCATTCCGTTAGTTTTTTTACAAAACAAGGAACCTCATTTACTGTACTCTACTACATACTCCGTATCAGCGGCTGGCCTAAATATATAAATATATTTCTCAACATACTTGTATTTATCAACAAATTCATCAACATATTTATCAAAGGGTATTTTATGCTATGAGCACTTATTATTTTATTTTACATAGGCAAACAATTATACATAATAGAGTATGATGGGTTGTATAACCATGTCCAATTTTTATTTAGAGAGATTTGCCAAGTTATTAGATATTCCAAACAAAATAGTTGCCAGAGATATGGCAACCTTGTAAGCCTGATGATTTGACAGGGTCAATATATATAGTTATATAGATTGATCATGTTTTTCAGAATAAACGCTTATTGCTTGAAGTAAAATGTAGGTAATTATTTTTTCCACCCCCACATGCATATTATAGCTATTCTACGCATAAACTACAAAAAAGGAAAAAGTATGCCATTGCGTTGAACTGAACGAGTATATTTCATATCCATTCTACCTTAGTGAGAACACGGCAAAATATTAAATCCACCACTCACAGTTCATGTTTTGGTAACCGGACTACTATTTTTTAAAATTTTAAATAAGTGACAATTCTGTCAAACTAATTGGGGTCTATTCTGTAACAATTCCTTTATATTTAACGGCCTTTAAAAATATTGGCGGCCTTTAAAAATAGTTTCGTATTCGTTAATTTACTTCTATCATTATTTAAACAGATTTCTTTAAGATAGTCCTCTAATGTATTTTAAAGATCCGTTTAAATAATGACAGAAGTAAAGGAGAAAATATTTTTAAAGGCCGTTAAATATAAAGGAATTGTTACAGAATAGATCCCATTGTCAGTATATTTTTGTAGTTACTTATTGAGATTAAATATACGTAGAATATGTGTAGAATCGATAAATAATAGCATTTCTATTTTTATACCCACATTTACAAATAAATTATAAATTTTTAATCAAACTATATGAAACTAATTTAATTATTGCTGCGTTTGAGAATCCACATCGGATGCATTTTTTACATCTCGAGCGTTTTTTTATCCACATCGGACACATCTGTCCCATTACATTTACGTATACTGAATCACGTGATCAAAGATTTTTTACATCTCAGATGCATCCGATGTGGATTCTCAAACGCAGCATATGAATATTAAAACTAAAATAGTATGTGTGCCGATGGAGGTGAGAATAGGCGGGCGTTTGGTTTCAATGCGAGAGGTCCGGGTTCAAATCTGGACTGGGGACTAATTACATTAAATCTTTTTTTTTTATTAATTTATAAGTCATAAATTATTTAAAATTAGTTTTTTCAATAATTTTTAAAATTTGTAGATTTTCGTCAGTGCGTCGTAGAAAAAATATTGTACAACTCGAGTGGATATTTTCCATATCCACTCTTGTTGCACAAACTACTATATTCGAAGACTGAAAATTGGTTTTAAAACGACATTTTTGCTAAACCGATTGTGCTTAATGAGCTCTCGCGCGGCAATATGGCAGCTCGTAAAGCGACACGCTTTGAACAATCTATAATTCTATATATACATTGATCCTGTCAAAGTCAAGAGGCCCACATGGTTGCCATATCATAACCCACGGGTAGTAAGTCACGTTCGTTTAGTATCAAACTCTCAATCAGCTGTTTTAATGGTGTAAAATGATTGTTCTATGGAAGATGCAGGTAAAATGAACGAACATAAGTCAATGTCAATGTGATTTTTGCAGTTGCAAGTTGCAAGTCAACATGGAGTTGAGGTTGTAAGGCAATAATAACAAAACGATTTATTATAAGTTATTATTAAACATGAAATGCTTGTTTAATTTGTTTTCATGCAACTGTAATCTCTTATAACATAAAATGTCTTCCAAAAGGTTAGTAATACTTTTGTATCAATTTAGTACAATCTATATTAGGTAGTATACTCATATAAAATATATTTATGTTGGAAATGAAAATAACTTTTATTTTCTTCACAATTAATTCTTGCAATACGGTTATATATTTCCAGTTCGGTGTATTATAATAGTTAATATTTGGTTATTTACTGTGTCTATTCAATATGTTGATAAATTAATTTGAAAACCTTATGAAGTTGGACAATGGCATTTGATAGAATTTAAAAGTTATTAGTATTTCACCACTAATGATTTTTCATAATATACAGTTTAACATGTGATTGTTTTGTTTTAGCGAATTAAAAAAGTTATCAGAAGAAAGTTTGACCCGTCAACCAGAGGAAGTATTTGATATAATATGCAAGTTAGGGGAGGGATCCTATGGAAGTGTCTACAAGGCACTTCACAAGGAATCAGGACAAGTCCTAGCAATAAAACAAGTACCTGTAGACACAGATCTTCAAGAAATTATAAAAGAAATCTCAATCATGCAACAGTGTGATAGCACCTATGTTGTCAAGTATTATGGAAGTTATTTCAAAAATACTGACCTATGGATTGTTATGGAATATTGTGGAGCTGGATCTGTATCAGACATAATGCGATTAAGAAAGAAGACCTTGGATGAAGATGAAATTGCTACAATTTTGGGTGATACTCTGAAGGGCCTGGAATATTTACATTTAAGGAGAAAAATACACAGAGATATTAAAGCAGGAAATATTTTATTAAATTCTGAAGGACATGCTAAGCTAGCCGATTTTGGTGTGGCTGGACAGTTGACTGATACTATGGCCAAAAGAAATACTGTGATTGGTAAGTACATTTTTATTAAAGCAACTGAAATGTTGGCATATTAGGTATTTTTTAGGAAAATAAACAAAAAATTAGTTAGCTCTCAAAATATGTTAAAAAATGTTTAGATACATAAGTATATCAGTAATTATCAACATTAGCACAAATATGGTCACCAAATGTTGTTTTTCTTTATCTTTATTACCATTTATTGGTATTCTGCCTTAATTTGTTTATAAATAATAATCCCTTTTTATTTTAAATTAAATTGTGTATTTTATATTAAGGCTTGTTGTACTTTATGTTAAACTTTTACATGTATTTTTAATTTACAAATTTCAGTCATTCTTCATTTCTGAGATAACCACACATTCCAATCAGTATTATTATTTTATTGTAAAATAATCATATAATTAAAAGTATGTGTATACATAATTGACAATAATAAATGTAGTATCAGTTTTAAAGAAACCATGAAATATTTTTATCTTCTTGAATTTTACATAAAAATGTTATCAGTTAATTTCTTCGGTACATGACCTTAGGAAATGCTGAAAAAAATACTTTAGTTGGTGTACAGGATGCACTTAAGATAAGTGACTATAATGATAAAAAAACTACATATATTGCAAAATTATTCATAAATTCATTAACATAATATAGAATGCTTTCTTTGATACAAATTAATTTAATTTTTACCAAGGTTGGCTGTTTTAAATCAGTATGGTTTTAACCATATGTTTTTTTTAAATATTCTGCTTTTTTTTGTTATTATTTTATTTATGTAATTTTTATTAATAGTTAAAAATTAATTAAAACTGGGTTTCCTTGAAAATTGGCTCCAAAGTAGTGCATGTGAAAACAAAATCTATTTTATTTAGACTGGTAATTTTTGGAGAATGCTGTTGATATGGATGAAGCAATAACTTTTTTATATAAAATCCTGTAGCATGTATAGAACATTAATAAACAGCTCCAATTATTTAAATTGGTACAAAACTCAAATTATTAGAAATATAAAAGCTAAAGCTGAACTTTTACAAAATATAGAATAACTAAAAACATTTACTCTTTATTGGATTAACAATTACTTAGAGCTGCTATCAAAATAAAAATCTAAGTTATGAATATCCCATTAACAATGTTATTAATCTGCCGAAAATTGAAAATGAGAAAGATATTTTCTTAGCAATGAAAAAAAATGAAAATTATCATTGTGGTTTTCAACTAGATGGAAAGGGGCCAAGGTTTGTCCTGTTTTTAAGTGGAGAAAAATGTAATGTTAGAAATGAGCAATTTCTCTTGTTAAATTTTTCTTTAAAATTATTCTTTGTTGTCATATTTATCTAATTTGACTTCAATAACACAACACATCTTAAATGTACAAGCCACACCTTTTGATAAAGGCCATGGTCGAATTGGGTGAGACTTGTTTAAAGTTGGTATGCTCCAGTTCAGTGAATCTGATGAACTGGAACCTGGTTCTTTCCAAAGGGGAACAGGTACATAAAATGTGCAGATTCGTCTTCAACACTACAAAAACGACAGTTTGGTGCAGATTGGAGGATAAAATCCATTTAATTTAATTTTTTTATTATTTTCTCAATAATGTCTGGATAATGAATATATATAGGATGCTATATTATTGATGAATATTCTAATTTTGTTCTAAGCTAAAATATAGGGAAGTTAATGCCGAGATACTATTGAAATTCTTAAAATTTTGAATTATAAAACCATATGCATGGTATGCTGAATTCACAATAGAGTTAATGTGGTAGTTAAAAGTAACTTGATAATCAAAGTGAACACCCAAATCTTTAATAGTGTCTGTTCTTTCCAAAATAATATTAATGGAATAAGGAAAATTCAGAGAAATATGTTTGCAACTATAAGTCACAATTATACATTTAGAAATATTTAAAAAGAGGCGATTTTTGTGACACCATTCCTGCAATAGGTTAATTTGATTTTGCAATGTTAAACAATCAGATGTAGTAGTGATACTGGTATATAATTTTAAGTCATCTGCAAACAATAACCTATTGCATTCAAGCAAATCACACAAATGGTTAATGAATATTAAGAACAATAGTGGCCCTAAATTGGACCCTTGAGGAACTCCACTAGTTGAAGTAAAGTAATTAGAATTAAATCCATTATAACAAACATATTGATTGTGCTTAGTTAAATATGATTTAAGAAGATGTACATAAGTAATATTAAAAACCTAAACTAGAAAGCTTCTGCAGAATTATTTTGTGACTGATTTTATTGAAGGCCTTAGAGAAATCAGTATATACTATCTAATGATTCACAGATATATTGACTAAAAACTGCCAGATTACTAACAGTTGAACGAGAAGTCATGAATCCATGTTGATATACAGATATAAGATTTTTAGCGGTTATACAAGATGACTTCTAAAAGTTTTGCAGCATTATTAAGAAAGGATATTGGCCTATAATTGTTTATATCTTGAGATTTATACAGGGTGTCCCGAAATTAGAAGGTCATATTTTAACAGCATAATCTACATCCTAAAATAGGAGTAAAAGTTTATATAAACATAGGTCCGAAAACGTTTCTTTTCCGAGATAGAGGGTGTTAAATGTGAAGTCCTGATGACACTCTTTTGTAAATATTTTCTAAACGTTTAAAGATAACTAAGTGAAATTTGACACAAATGCTTACCTTTTTTCGTTCTATTTAATGGACTAAAACCCAGTTTTTGATCATCTTCATAGGTGGGTAAATTAGGGGGGCTTAGGGTAAAATTGCCCTAAGTTTTTTTTGTTGACAGTTTTCAACATTTTTAACTATAAAATTTGGAAAACCAATATTTTCTTTATAATAAAGCTACAATTGTTGCATCTCGCTAGTATGCACCATTTTCAAGAAAAAAGCATTTGAAAATTTTATTTTAAGTTATTCGAAAATGTAAACAATAATTAGTAGGCCTGTGAAATCAGAAATTTTATTTTTTATTTACTTTGGAAAACCGGTGACTAAAGAAATTTTAGAAAATATTTAAAAAAATGTGCCATCATGTCTTCACTTGTAACACCCTGTATCTCGAAAACGAAACGTTTTCGGACCTATATTTATATGAACTTTTATTCCTACTTTAGGATGTAGATTACGCTGTTAAAATATGACCGTCTAATTTCGGGACACCCTGTATATGGGACAGATTTTATCTACTTTCCAAACATCTGGAAAGACTGAAGTTTTAATGACTAGATTAAAAAGAGTTTGTAGCGGATATATTAATACAATTAAGCAATCTTTTTAGAGAAAAGAAGGTATTTTGTCTCAACCTGATTAATTTTTTACTAGTATCTAGGATTTCTTTTTCCGTTATTGCTTCACTATTAATATTTAATAGCATATTAGGATCATAGTCAAGTTCCAAATTCAAGTCTTCACTATCTTCTGGCAAAGAATAGACAGTTTTCTTTTTATTATTAACAAATGACCAGAATTAACTTTGGTTCATCAGATAGCTTGATTTGAATATTTTGAAAATACAATGCATATGCTTCCTTGATTTTAAGTTTGATCTTAACTTGAAAGTCTACTAAATTTTTGGTAGTAAACAATATTTCCACTAGCTTTAAATTTTCTATGGAACTTAACTTTTTCTTTAATAAGTTTTATGATTTCACTAGTATACCAGATGATATGATGGAAATTACATGTGGACTGATCTCCTTTTTTCCACTGTACTCAAGAGCTAATATTTGCAACAATCTGATAAAAATATTTTTTAAGGGACCCCATTCTGGATGGCACCTGAAGTAATTCAAGAAATAGGTTATGACTGTGTGGCAGACATATGGAGTCTCGGAATAACTGCCTTAGAAATGGCCGAGGGCAAACCACCTTATGGGGATATTCATCCTATGAGGGCTATTTTTATGATACCCACGAAACCTCCCCCCTCTTTCAGAGAGCCAGACAAGTGGAGTGCTGAATTCATAGATTTAGTTAGTATCTGTTTAGTCAAAGACCCTGAAGAACGTGCCTCTGCCAGTGATTTGTTAAATCACGAATTTATTAGTAAGTGCCAAAAAATATATAATTTAAAATAGGACAGTGTTGAAATATTAATTTGATAAAAGAGTCTTTTGCTATATTCTATTTTTTTGTAGAAAATGCCAAACCACCGAGTATTTTAAGTAGTATGATACAAGAAGCTCATGAAATAAGAGAGAATCAAAGCTATAAGAATTTAAACTCAGTTGCAAATGTACAGGGACTGAATAAAAATATCAACGAAGAATCAGTAAGTTTATATTTACTCCTCTAAAGGTAAATGTAACAAAAGTTTCATTTTAGTTTAAGCACAATTTTACTTTATTAAGAATATATTTAAGTAAAACAGTAACACATTTCTCAATTTTTATAATATTTATTTAATATATAAAATAAATTGTATTCTAGGATGACGAGGTTGCCTTAGTAAGTCAAACTATGGTTTCATGTGCAGATGAAGGTACTTTAGTTCCTAGCAAAGGCGGTACTTTAATACCAATGTCACCTAGTGGTACCCTGGTAGAAATTGAATCCGAATTAGGAACCATGGTTATTAATAGTGATGTAGATGATCAGACAATGAAACGTAAGTACTTTTGATAACAAAAATATTAACTATAATATTCAGTAAATAAGCCCATGAAGGGGTAATGTTCTTATATCAAAATTAATGAGAGCTCCCTGGGGTTGAATATACTAGAACACTTATAATAAAAGAATAATGAATGCCTTATCTGAAACATGGTTGGGAAAAAAACAGATGAACCAATAATGTATTTTCCTGAATTAGATTTATTTTTCAGGTCATGATACAAGCTCAGTGCAAGGAGGAAAGAAGTACAGACCAATGTTTTTGGACCATTTTGACAAAACGGAAGCGGAAATTAAGGTAAAATATGTTATTTAACTTGAATAATAATTATTCGCCTGATTTATGGATGTGTTATATTTTGCACACCCTTTCTCTGAAGTATGTATATATATTGTAAGTTTTTTTAGCAGGGTAATGGTATATCGAGTCCTATAACACTAGAGAGCACAGAATTAACTGATGGACAACAAAACTACCAGAGCAATATTCAAGTAAAACTCACTGAATCACCTACACCACAACCCACACAAGTACAACCTATAGAACAAAGACCTCAATATCACCAAGTTTTTAATGATGGAGATTTTGAATTTGTGAGTTCTTAAGGTCGATATTTTTAAGCTAAAAACAGATTAATAGATATCATAATTCATAGAGAATCTTTAATTATTTATAAAGATAAAAAATTTCTTTTAAAAGAAGTAACTTCATAATGGTTTTCCTAGGGTACTGTTTCTAAAAAGTACTTTAACATAATTTTATCATGTTGGTATTGCCAGAGACAACCCAGCGAGACGTGTAACTCAATGTATTTATTTTGTTCGGTAAAAGTTGTTTGGGCGATTGTAACTACAACCAGTCTATGATGGCGCCACTAGTTAATAGCGGGAAAATTAAAAATGTTTTAGGGCGGGAAATTTAAACATGGATTCAGAAATAAATAGTTTTTCTATACAAATTTACAGGAGAAACAAAAACTATTGTTTCACTGTATATTAAAAAATATAAAAGTTTCTAATAACATCAAATTTGTTTATCATATAAATAATCATTTTAATGAAGGAAGTTTTAATCAGTTTAATATAAGCAGTGAACATAGTTTTTATTACTCTTGTAAATTTCGCTAAAAAAACTTAATAATATTTAATAATCAATTGAATTTTCAACTTGAAAAAATAATACACCAAACTCTTTCTATAAATTATATTTTTGTAAGGTAGATAAAAACAAACTACAATTGCTACGTTTAGAAAGTACCTCGTATCATTTTGTGACAAATTACAAAGAAAGTCACAGTTGTTATATATTCATAATTTAAAAAAATAATGTAACAAATATTTTATAAAGTATAGAGTATATCAATACCTTTTTGGTATCGATATGTTATGACTGTTTATTTTAATAGAAACCATGGAAACGAATCAAACACACACATACACTCACAAAAAAGTATAAGGCCCGAGTCGAGTAAGTTCCCATCCTGTAAACTGGATCGAAACCTGCTAGACCCATTCTGTACACCCCCCTGCTAACTCCTCTTAGGGTCATCAAGATCAATAGATTTATATGCATTCCTGTTGTGTTCCCAGTCATGTAAAAGTTTTCCTAGTCTCCTAATTTGGTGACTAGGTGGACCTTCTCCAACTAGTCGTCTAATCTATTCGATCTGTTCTGCAGTAGGAGGTACTTTTCAAACATAGCAAATAATAATATTAATCATGAATACTATTTAAAGATGAATTCATTTTTGTAATTTTTTTTTGTCGTTGTCCCTTACCAGGGTATACCTATTTTCCATACTCCCTTAATTATAGATTACCTTACGATGTTTGAATGAATGTAACATTTTACCCATGAAAAATCTAATTTCGAATTTAACTCTTTTTCAATTTCATTTGAAACAATTGGTATATTACAATTTATTATCAAGGAATTCTTCTAATAAAGTAGCAGATCCTACTCAAACTACTGGTTGTTCTGCAGGATAAATGAATTTTTCTTGAGATTGATCTCTCTCTAAAATCCAAAACCGACCTGATGTCCCCAAATTTATTTTCCAATGCATTCTGATTTAAAATTCGGCCCTTTTGTGATTCAATTTTTTTTCTTTGTTTAAATGACTACAATCTTCTAATAGCCACTAGAATGGCTATTAGAGGTAGGTGTATGTAAGACATAGCCAATCTCTAGTGCTATTCCTGGTTGTACAATTGCACAAAAAGTTGTACAATCAGTTATGTGATTGTACTGTTGTACACACTTTTGAAAAAAGATAGAAATGTACAATTTGAAGTTGCTAAATATTTATGTAAAATCTGGTATATAATAGGATTTCCTTTGCTCAAAAAGTCTACGATTCGTTAAATCGAATACATTAAAATTAATAAAATAGTAATGTTTAAATTTGGCGCCATTCACGACCAATCAGTACACCGTTTTACATCGAAAATATTTTTTAAACTGGAAAAAAGAAGAATTATAAGCATCGGGAAGTAGTAGGCCATATGCTATCAATAAGGAAGAAGAAGAAGATTAATTAGTTGTTGTACAATCGAACTTTAAAGTGTACAATTTTGACATTAAAAGTTGTACAATTAAAAAATCTCTAGGAACAACACTGTCTCTAATCATTTCAAAAGTGCTTTGCCAATACTACATGTGCAGAGATTTTTTACTCAGTATACATTTTACTTCTTTTCTAGTAGGTGGGAACTCTTTGCTGCCATTAAAGCTGTCGAGACATTCATCTACCTACTTAGGATCGATTCCACCGTTGTGTTAAACGAAGTTTAAAATGACATTTTTATATTAACAATGTCATTTTAATCTCCGTTTAACACAACGGTGGAATCGGCCCTTAATGAACAAAGGTAGCTGTAACAATGGATCTCTGTTCCAATTCACCTAAAATAATTATGGCCATTTTATAATATACTATTAAACACACACATTATACAGTGGTTTTCTTAATAAATTGGAAATTACTTACCTCTAGAAAGAAACGTGTACAAAAACGCGAGTTTGGTTCCAGAAATTGCTTCATGCAATAAATAATATGCCAAAATAAACATTCCCCTCCAAAGAAAATTAATTAAACAATAAAATCAGACTCAAAGAAATAAATGAGGCCCAAATTAAATTAATTTTAATAAAATGCACACGTTCATGACTACAATCATAACATTGTCAGTTGTCAGTTCTAATCTATACGTCGACGTCAAAAAACCAGCAACATCAGCGACCTCTAAGATTGGTGTTAGTTTTATTGGAGAGAGATAAATATATGTAAAGATCAATGTAAAAGAGAAAGAAAGTCATATATGTAAGTTAAATGGACCACCGAACAAATTTTCCTATTAAGTTACACGACTTTTTTTTTTTTTTAATTTGGTGTCATCGGCGTCGACTACTACGGCCATTAGCCTCGTGTTCTGTGTAGGCTTTGTTACTGTTTCCCAGCGCCACTTTAGGAACAGCACTGTTAATTAGAACCCAACAGTGAATGGTCGAGTGGGGAATCCTACCTATGCATTAGAATTAATATTTAATTTTTTTTTAATTAAATAAAAATTCCTGCCACCGGTGGGATTCGATCCTGAGACCTTCCGATCTCAGAGCCATGACTCTAACCACTGAGCCAACCCACCCCCTACACGTCTCTGTTGTTTCTGGTACTGCTGATCTGTGTTTAATTCCAACATTTACCACAAAAATGTTAAGTTTTGTGTTAAAAAATATTTTATATTTTGTAAGGAATAGAAAAATGAAAATGGATGTTTAGTTAAATGAATCGCTATAATAATAAAAGTGTCCTTTTAACATTGAAGCCTCTTCTTTATTTTGATTATGAAATTGGCCCTTGATATAATTTTACATTTTTTTAGCTAAAGTATTTAAGTTATGAGGAATTGCAACAGAGGATGAATACTTTAGACTCAGACATGGAGAGAGAGATAGACGAACTTCGAAAGAGATACCAAGTTAAAAGACAACCGATCTTAGATGCAATGGACACAAAACGTAAAAGGTCTCAGAATTTTTGAAGAATTCTTAACCATTATTGATTCTTTTTTGGGTGCTCAAAACATTGCGTTTACATATTTTGAATTGAATATCGTTTTGCCATTGGATTTATTAACTACACATTGTACGGCAGAAACCATTCCTATAAAAAAATCCTAAGTAGAATATTTTTGTTTACAAGTCAAAATTTTTAGTGTCTATTTCAATATTTTGAGTTGTACCTTTTATATGTAGGTATATCGAATGTGTAGTTAATCAGTTTCTGTCCAGTAAACGTGTTGGCAAATTATGACAAATTTTTTTTTTACATTTTGTTGATCTCAATCGTTAAGTTTATAGTATATCGTATTTACATAATCAGTACTTATTACATTCATTTGCGATTTGTACAAAATGGGTCACAGAAAATGTCGTCTTTTTTGGAATTGAGATATAAGAAAAAATACTGTTACTATAATAATATAATTTGCTTGTTAAATAATATACTATTATTTCCCTCGCATTGGACTTAAAAAAATTGACGTTCTATATTCCATCGTTTTTGTTAATATCAATTTTCAATTCATATGGGTTCCAATAATAAAGTCATTAAGTTTAGGTCTTGCATACGAAAGGTACAAAGTTTTCAAAGCAAATTATTTATTGTGAAGCCCCGGGGTCACTACATTTCTTTAGAAAACCCCCACTCATAATATTCGACACAATAGTCCACTATGATTGAAATCCGAATATATCACAACATAAATTATTGTTAATAATAATAAATTTATTATTTACCAAAACAAAAAACTTATTACAGATGTTTTAAAATAACAAACATTGGTAAATAAATGATACAGTATTAGGTTCAAAAACCGATTCTTCCATACTGCCCATTGAAAAACAAATTAAAATGAGTTCTATAATGCTATTGGAGCCCAAAATTAAAATTCTCATTTAATAAAACATTAAAAAAATCTCAACTAAACTGAATATTCATATATGTTACTGTCAGTTTATTTGTTCTGCTAATAACTTAAGTTTTTTTGAAACATTCTATTGATACACTATAAAATGGTACATCCAGCAGATTTCCATAACAAAATATTTGATAAGAGAAGGATCTTTTAAATAATTCTTTATTATAATACATCGCCCATCAAATCCTACAACGATCCATGTAAATTAAAGAGCATTCACATGGTCTGCTGTGGAATTCAAACTTGATATTGACGGATTGGAATACCTGTACTACAAAATTTGACTGATGGGACCTATGGTGTTCAGTTAAAGCTATTCTAATATCTTGGATAAATTTGACAGGGTGTGAAGTTTGATTTATAATTATTTATAAACAATCTCCTGATTTAAAAACAGGGATAAGATATAGTGGATTTTTTCTGTTTTAAGATTATTACCAAATCATTATATCACGCTAATTTAACAAAAAAAAAAAAAAAATTAAAAGGCTTTCTACATACAAAATGGTTCTTGAAAAAGGTTATTTTTTTAGATCCTCACTATAAACGATGGAATATTATCAGAACAGAAATCATCTTATTTTCATGTCGACTAGTTGCAATGACAATTTATTTAATGAAATCGAAATTTGTTATAAATTGCTAAACAACTTACTGTTTCCGTATTACGCCATATTATATCATAGACATATTCTGAATTATTGTTCTGTTCCTAAGATGTTGTACTTAATAGATTGGTTGAATTTTATTTGACATACTCACAAATGGCACTAGATGTTAATTATGAATGGTGATATTTTTCCAGTGTTGAACTGACTAGTTCAGGTGTCTTAATTTGGATGTTTATTTTCATAAATTATACAAGGTGACCCGAAAATGCCAAGCAATACTTCTAGGGGTGATATGAACTCCTAAAAATAGATATACTTTTTAAAGATAAGTAGTTTTTCAAGAATATCTTTCGAACCGAATAACGCATCAAATTCAAATTTTAAATAGTATTTTACGGTACTAAGAGTAGTTTCACATTTTATTTTGATTATTTTAAGGGATCAGTTATCCCTTTTTAGATATATTTGTTTTGTTTTTCCTTAAAAATGTGCCCTTAATGTATCATTCAAAAACTAGTCATTTCTATGTAACTGAGGATATATTGTGTGTTTTCTATCACCCCTTGAAATATTCTCGACATTTTTGGTCCGCCTTGTATAAACCAAAATTATTTTAGGAGTGTGTATTCAAGATACACCAATTTTTTATTAATTTATATTTGTTTGAAGAAAAGTTGGATTTATAATTATATGAATATACCTTAATATTTAATATCTTAGGATATTAGGACTAGCTAGTTCAATACTGCTTCTTTATTAAATAGAAAATGTAAGAAAGTTTGCAGTAAATAAACAGCGATTTTTCTAATTATTTGTGTTGTCTGAATAAAAACCAATGTATAATTTTTTAATGATTTATATAGAATTTTTACAATAAGTTTCAGAAAATTGATTTTTTTTTTTTTTTGTGTAAAACTATTCGCCTAGACAGTTTTTTTTTTTGAGAATTTTATTAAAACAAAATTATGTATTGATCTTCACCAACTCTGGAAAGTTACCTTTAACACTTCTGAAACTGTCTAGAAGCTTAAGATTACCTCTGTTAACTAATTCAACCACAACGCTACTAATAATGGGGTTGCTGATTCTTACTTTTATAATCTCAGAGTATTGATTATCTCTTCTTATTCAATGTTGAAAAATTCTCATCACATCTCTTTTTACTAGACCTTTTGTGAAATCACTGCGAATATTTTTTCTATTCCTTACTATAAGTCTATTGTTGCAAACAATTTCATTAATTTTAACAATGTCTTATTTAGTTGTTACATAGACCTGAATATTCTCTCGACATCAGGATTTTAAACGTTAATTCAGAGATTTCAATTTCATAATAAATTTGCTGATCAATTTCAACCTAGCAATATTAAGGGGCTATCGTCTACAATTCTAATATAGAGCCACATTTCAAATACATATTTCCAGATACAATAGTTTTCTCGAACCAATAATAATAATAGCCATCCCTTCCTGACACAAGCTCAATCGGCTTCAGGGGTTAAAATTCACTCGTAAGGGAGTGTATTATTATTATTACTATTGGTTCGAGGGTTGTTTAAACCTAGCGTAAAAATAGTTACAGCATTATTAATAATTTATTTATAAAAAATATAAACCTAAGTTTTTATTTACTACAGATTTTCTATCACTGTCTATGTATACATATAGTTTAAATGGAAACTTTTATATTAATTTGATTTATTATGAGCTTCTACCAACGTTATTTTGTACAGACCTTCTCACATTAAAATTGTAACATTAGATTTAACCTCTCTGTACGATAAGTACGCTTGCTGTGCCTTTAGTAGATCTAAGTAGTTTTAGATTTAAGTAGGATTGTAATCATATTTTTTGATGATCCTGAATAAAAATTAACTCAATCAATTTATAGTTTCATTAGTTTTTTGACTGCAGCTTAGTGTCGGCTACTAAATTTAATAGAGATGGGACTTTTTATGAAAAGTAATTTTTGGACTTTTCCATAGACTTTACAAAGCGACCCATCACTAAAATTTAAACATACTCTCTGTAAGATAGTATAGCGAGATTACTCGAACGTTCTTGAACAATCTGCGACCGTATATTATTTTTTTTATTAAGGGCGTTATTGGATTCCGAAAGAAGACTGAAATAGAACCACTTTCATAAACAAACGAAATATCCGTGCTTCTAAGAGAAAAAGATAGTAGGGATTAGCTACCTGTTTTTGAACCTCAATTAAGATGCAAATATATGGGAAAGTAACGACAATAAACAAATGCTCCAAACGTTTTTAAATTCTTTGCGAAGTGGTTTTATGAAGGTAAAAAAGTGGAAATAATGTTTAGTTAATTTTAATAAACAATTTATTAGGAAATTAAACAATTACGATTCTTTGACCTAGACGTACCAAGTACTTACTACTCCATTGTGTTTTTTTTTAATATTGTCTTTTTCATAAGTTTTTACATTTTCTAGCACATTTTATTTTCCTTGTACCCTGCTATAGGAGTTATCCTCCTTTTCAGTGTGGTTTGCCCTGATTACAATAAGTAACCTTAGTTGTCGTGTGCACGTGTGTGACAGGTTGTGTTCCCCGAAAATATCGCCAATTTTTCTATTTCCAACCCCGTAAATGGACAAGTCCAAGTATAAGGTGGGGAATATGATTTCCCAGACAACACACCAAATCCCAGAGATATCCACAGAATATCTTTTGTGGATATCCAATATATCCACAGGATATCAGAAATATTCCGTGGATCTAATATGGATATCCAAATGTCCGTCTATATCCAGAATATAGAAGATATATGGATATCCAGCAAAATATCTAATTAGTATTTTCCAGACAATACAAGAAATCCCAGAGATATCCACAGAATATATTCTGTGGATATCCAACCAAATGTCCGTCTATATCCCAGGATATAGAAGAATTCGGATAGTCAGCAAAATATTTTATAGGTATCTTTAGTAGAGGTTCATAAGTAACCAATGATTATTGAATAAAGTCGATAAAAAATATTTTTAACACTCGAAATATTTTCAACACTCTGCCATTGATTTTGCCCACTAAGGAGAAAGTTATCCTTATTAGGACTCTTCAGCATCAGCAATAAATGGAAATTCTCGACTCCAGTTTCTAATGGAGTCTGATTGTGAAACAAATTTCGATAGAACTAAATTACGGCGGGTTGAGCATGAGTAGATGCGAAAGTAGTATCGCCATCTATACTTACTAAGCAAAATCAAAAATTACATCTAGTGGATATCCATGGGATATTCGAATACACCTTAAAAAAATTAATTTTAAATATCTGAACGGTACTATTAGCCACAATGGCGTAATTTTTTAATAATTTGCTATATAATTACTATTATTTATGGACATTTGCATGTCTATAAATTACAGCTCATGGATATAAAATAGATATCCACCATGGATTGGACATTCAGTGGATATTGGGATGTTCAGTAGATATCCAAAGGATGATTTGGTTTGCTGTCTGGGAGGTCTCTAATCTAAATACTAGTAGAACAAGAACGATAAAGAACAAAAGTTGTCAAAAATACAAAAAGAGGCAATACTGCAATGTTAAAAATTTTCTTTTTAAGATGCACAATTTTAAATCAAATACCAAATACATTTTATATTTAAAGTCTTTTATATTAGCTATTAAAGAATTTGCAATTATTTGGATAATATAATTTTATTATATGATTGTTTTAAAATCAAATAAATATTTTCCTTGCAGGTTAACGCAGTTTATGTCGCTCACCTATTTTCGTCCAGAAATGTCAGTAAAGCCTGGGAGACCCTGTATGCATTGATTTTACACTTTTAGTTTACAAAATATCTTTTTATCGTAATAAAAAAATAATTCCAAAATTTTACTCTTTTATTTCACATTTTTTCAAAACGGAAAAGTAAAATACGGCCCTGTTCAATTTTAGCGTCCACCTGATTCTGTTTACATCAGACGTAAATGAAATCTGAATAGACTTTAGGTTGATTATCTTTTTGGCGACATATCAGTTTAGTGTCACAAAATTACAGGTTAGACATATGTTTTAAATAAAACTACAGATAGGTATTTCATTTTTGGAAAAAAGATGCAGGGTAAAATTCAAAAATATGTTGGAACTATTTTTTATTGCGACCTGCCAAAATGCTGACAAATTAGATATGGCAAACCTGTGGGTCTGTTGTCATTGCCAGGGTCAATGATACATATATAGTTCTATAGATTGCTCAAAGTGGGTGGCCATACTGCTTCGCAAGTGTTAATTAATCAGAATCGGTTTAGTAAAAATGTGTTTATAAACCAATTTTCAGCCTTTGAATATAATAAAAAAATAATTACCTACATTTTTACTTCGACGCATCAGCTTGTGTTTATTTTGAAAAACATGGATGATCAATCTATATAACTATCTATTCATTGACCCTGTCAAATCATCAGGCCTACAGGGTTGCCATAATTTTGGTATATCAGAACCTGTGATAGAAGCGTAGTAACTTCAATTCGATGCTCTTGATGTGCGCGATTGTCAAGATTTTGATTTTGTTTACGGCAATTATGTTTTCATTTCAGGCGACATGTAATTCATTTTTTTTATGTGGGTTCAGTAATCAGTATCGTAATTATTTTGATATCATGTAGAATAATCATATAATTTTTAGTGATGTTTTCTTGTGCAAATATGGGGAAAAAATGTTTTGGGTGGTACATTTCATGCCGAAAACCATTTTCCTATAATAGGTTGACTGCATTTTTCCAAACAACAAAATGTATGGTTTTTGATTATATTTTCTCTCGAAAAATACTGGTTTTTCTATATATTTTTACGAACATTTACTCTAGAAACTAGTTATTTTTGATTGCTAACAATTTTTTTAAAAAAATAGCACCTCCGGATTTCGCGGCGAACAATTCACTCATGTTCCGAGAAAAAAAATTGGTTATATTTTTACAAAATCCGAACTTTTTTTTATAAATGGTTCTAAACTAAATACAAGTTTACTTTTTGTGACACCAAAGTGGACCCATTTTTTTAAATAACTTTAAAAATAAGGTTAACTTACAATAATTATTTATTCCAAATCCAAAATGTATCCAATATACGGTCCATTCACGAACGCACTTTATGTCTTCTCGTATCGGTCATCCTAAATGTCCTCCAGGATATTCCCGCAAATTATACGTATCAGTTCTAGGACTAGAATACACTCCCGATGTAATCTATTGAAATAATACTACTAAAATCACAGAGACGACTGACAAACAATAACACCTGGTGCATAAAAAAAACCTAAAAAAAGGTAAAGCCGATAAAAAGGTAAACATTTAGCTTATTTTTTGAAACAGAAGTCCAGGGTTGGAATTAATTTTTTTAATTAATTTTTTGAAAAAGTTATAAGAAAAAATGTTTATTTTAACGATTTCTACAAGGTGGACCAGGAGGCATTAATTTAAAAATAATTTCAATTATGCAGGGTTTCCCAAGAAAGTGATACATATCAAAGTTAGGTTTTTTGAAGTTATTTAAAAAAGATGCTTCTACAGGGAGGGCCACCACTAACGCCTCGGTCTGCAGAGCCAAAACTATTGGATTTTTTTTAAAATGTTTTCACAGAGCGAGATGTATATCAAAAAAGGCAACAATTTAAAAATGATTTTAATTATACAGGGTTCTTCAAATCAAAGTTGAGTTTTTATGAAAAAGATGTTTATTTTAACGACTTATACAGGGTGAGCCATTGCTAACATCTCGGTCTGCAGAGCCAAAACTATTTAATTTTTTTAAAATCTGTTTTTACAGCGAGATGTATATCAGAAAAGGCAACAATTTAAAAATAATTTCAATTATACAGGGTTCTTCAAGAAAGTGATATATATCAAAGTTAAGTTTTTTGAAAAAGAGGTTTCTACAGGGTGGGCCATCACTAATGCCTCGGTCTGCAGAGGCAAAAACTATTGGATTTTTTAAAAATGTTTTCACAGAGCGAGAAAAAAAGGCAACAATTTAAAAATGATTTTAATTATACAGGGTTCTCCAAATTAAAGTTAAGGTTTGAGTTTTCTTTGAAAAAGATGTTTATTTTAATTACTTCTACAGGGCGAGCCATTGCTAACGCCTCGGTCTGCAGAGCCAAAACTAACTAATTTTTTAAAATCTGTTTTCACAGCGAGATGTATATCAGAAAAGGCAACAATTTAAAAATAATTTCAATTATACAGGGTTCTCCAAATCAAAGTTAAATTTTGAGTTTTTTTGAAAAAGATATTTATTTTAATGACTTATACAGGGTGAGCCATTGCTAACGTCTCTGTCTGCAGAGCCAAAACTATTTAATTTTTTAAAATGTTTTTATACAGGGTTCTCCCAGAAAGTAATGCATATCAAAGTTAAGTTTTGAGGCTTTTGAAGTTATTTCAAAAATATGCTTATTTTAATGACTTCTACAGGGTGGGCCATCGGTAACGCCTCGGTATGTAGAGCCAAAAATATTTGATTTTTTAAAATTCGTATTCACAGCGAAATGCATAAGAGAAAAGACAATTTAAAAATGATTTCAATTATACAGGGTTCTCCATGAAAGTGATACATACTGGCCTCGTTCGGCACACGTTGCAGCCAAAATTTAAACTTGCATTTGGACTTTTTGTATTATTGAAGCAATTAGGATACTACAAATAAAATAGGAAAAACTATTTTTTAATTCTATATTTACAATTGATAAGTCTGATACAATTCACAAAAAAACAAATTACAATACCAATCTTACTGCGTTTATTGGAAAAACATACAAAATTGTTACGATTACAAAAATTATTACATATTAAATATACAGTGTTTTTTTATAAATCAAATACAATACATAAAATATATATAAAGTATCTGATAATGTCAGTCTGTAATAAACTCCAACACTCTCACACATATTGTTTAACCAAACTACAGAGCGTTTATGATTACATACACTTTATAAAAATTTAGGTAACAGGGTCAAATAAACCTAATAAAATAGTATTTTTGAACATTTGGACGGTCTTTCTGATCACAATCTCGGATTTATATTATGTCCAGTTTGTCATACTCGTAATTTATTAAAAATGTCATTGTAAGATAGTCCTGCAGACTTTTTGAACATTTAACAATTAAAAATAGAAACGTAATCATAGTTAAAGGGAAATGTTTTAATAATATATTTATTACTGAGATACAGGGAGTTCATTTCTTTCAAACATCATAACTAACGAATCATCTAGAATAGTTTTTTGATATTTGGCACATATATATAGTGACTAAACGACTAACATACTAGTCAGAAAAAATATCCAGATCCAGACTAACAAAAATAAATTGTTGTATCCTCATAACATCAAAATTATTAAAATCAATTAGTTTAAAAGAGCATAAAAACTGATTTAATACTTTATAGTATTTTGCTTACATCTTTACTACTCAAATTTTAAACTTAAATTGAAGTTTTTACACATTTAATGGGTTAAAAATGGAACAGTTTTTAATAAAGTACCGACCCTATATCGAGTTGCAAAATTGCCAAGCTTTGATTCATTCGGTACTTTGCCACAAAGTTTAAAAAATGGTAAAATTAATGTTAAATTTTTGAACAAAATAAGTAACAATCTGTATCTCAGTTATAAAGACCGTATGAAGTCCTATTAAATATATTTATAACTACCTCGTTGGACTCTCTACCACTGAAATATTTCCCTTTAACTATCAAACACCCTGTATAAAAGAAAATAATTTTACCTTACAGTTAAATACAGTAGATGCCAACGATGATTAAAGTTATAGATATTTTTACAAATAGCTTTACAAGTTAACTGTTTACCTAGTTGCCTACATTCATACTTTCAAAATAATAAGTGAAAATATTGCTTCAGTAATGTTTAAATTAAAATAACCAAAACCTAATATATATATTTGTAAGTGTAAAATTTCCAATTTCAAATCACAATCTCATTTTACTTCTGTTTTCATTTCACTAATGATGTAAACTTCTTGTTTTTTATTGCTAATTTTGAAAGTATGTGCCACACTCTAATATCAATTTCACTTTTTCAGCAAAAATCTAGATCTAGAAATAATACAAGGTCATATTTTATCCATAACAAAAAAAAGGGATTACAGACCAGATAAACTGAAACACCCACTCCTTCAAGGCAATGCTTTAACTTCAAGGTTAGTTTATGTAAACAAGGACTCTAAATATTGGCACCAGTGGTATTTGTGTTCAATCAATGTTGAAGATTCTTACAGTGATATGCAGTATACTTAGAAATGCAAAAAAATGAAAAGCCAGAATGTCGTCAAACTGGTAGTTAACTACCTATAGAGTCATATACAAGTAGCTTGAAAATTAAGCAATTTTGTCTTTAAGGAATAAAAATTGTTTTAAGTATTCATATAAGCTTTGGCAAATTTTGATTTTTACGTAAACGTTAATTTTCAAGCATTCTGTATAGAAAATGTAAAACTGTATGCATTATTACAGGGTGTGTTCAACAGTGTTTCAAATATATCGGGTGTTCAAATTAAAGTGTTACAGGTAAATACCGCCTTTTATAAAAAAAAACGATTCAGACGAAAGTTTTATATTTTTTTGGGGTAAAGATTTTGGCTAAAATCTTTTTTATAGCTAACCATAGTATGGCCAACTTTTTTTCGCGCAGAAACATTTTCAAGTAGGTGTTAGTCAATAAATAAGTCCAATAAAAAAAATTTTTCCTTAAAAAGTTTCTTATTTTTTTATTATAAGAATATATAACGGTTCCAATTTGAAACAAAAAAGTCCACCTTGATATATTGTGGTCAGCTATAAAAAAATGAATTTCGCCAAAATGTTTCCCCGAAAAAACTATACAACTTGTTTTTATAAAATGCATATTTTCGGCGGAATTTAACACTTTAATTTGAACACCCGGTATAAATATCTTTTTAGAATCTTCGGAAAATGGAACATAATAATGATATTTTTTTTGTTTGTCATGTGTAAAACTTATTAGGACAAATATCTTAAATAAATTCAAAAGAGTGTTCCAAGGAAAGATTATCTATTAAAGATGTTGGTTGGTGTTTAAATTTGACATGTTGCTCTCTATGTCATCTGCAAGATATTAAAACATATTGCAAAGCAGCATCTTGATGCCAATGATTCTTTTGCATATAAATGAAAAATGAATGACCCATAAAGAAGTATTAAAGGTTTCTGAAATGTCGAAAGTTGTAGTGTAGGCATAAGCTCATACTTAATACATTTCAGATAGACATATGATGTAGAAATGTTTAAAAGAATAAAAAAGTCGTATCTGAATGAGTTGCATTCGAGGATTGTTTGGTAACTACATGGCCTTCCACAGAGATGACGCGATTTACCATTCTGTAGAATCATCTTTTAATAGGTTAAATATGACAGTAGAAAGCGATCAATTAGTATGTTTTTGACAGTACACCAAAGTGTAAAAAATGGAAAAAAACTGAGTTGAGTGCAGTGATAAAGTACGTTCATTTTAAAGAGCTTACTTAACACCAACCAAAATCAAAGCTGAGCTGGATTTAACACTATTCGATTCTGAATTTAAGTGTGGTCATATGAGCATAAATGATTAACCCTGTAGTGGACGTCCAATAAGTGCTACTGTCCCAGATATGATTGAAAAAGTCCACTGTGTCGTATTGGATGATCATCAAGGAAATAATGACAGTGTGCAGAGAATTTTATCTGAAGAAATGAAAATGAAAAAATATTAACCGCGTTGGGTGCCACGATTGCTCACACCAAAGCAAAAACTGAATCGTTTGAGTCTTTCTGCGACCTTTGGACACATTTTAGCAACAATCCGAAGGACTTTTTAGGCCGTTTAATAATCACCAATGAAACCTGGGTTCAACATTACACTCCAAACAATGGACGCACAAAAGTTCGCCACCAAAGAATGCAAAAACGGTTATGACAACTGTGTTTCAGGATTCTCATGGAATTACTTAGAAAAGGGGAAAACAGTAAATGGCGAGTATTATGCCAATTTATTTCAACAACTTAGCAACAAAATTAAAGAGAAACGACCTTATTTGGTAAAGAAAGTGCTTTTTCATCAGTAAAACACATATGTCCCCAAGTCTGCGATTGTAACAGCCGAAATTCATGAATTGGGATTTGAAAGTGCCTATTTTGACATATTCTCCAGATTTTTCTTTCAGCAATTGCTTCCAAATCTGAAAAATGGTGATTGATGGTGTCAATAGTTATTTTAAGGACTTGGATTCATTGATCTACAATGAAGGCACTGCTGATTTGGAATAATAGTGATTTTTATCGAAAAACAAATGTGTTTCCGTCGTTAGGTCACGTTGTTATCGAACAATCATAGCTGATGAAAGATAAGACACTACAATTTCACCTCAAAATTTTCAATTTCAGTATTTTTACAAACACCCTGTAATAATTTATTATTGGAAATAATTAAAATACAAATATTAATTCAGTTTGTACGTTTTCATTTCAAGAGACAAATAGAAGATTGATAGTTTATGGTACATTTTGTCAGATATTGGGATATTTAAACCACAGTAAGCTTCTATAAAGGTATAAATTGAAGGCTAAACTTCATAACACAGTTATGTATGTTTTAAAAGGCACTATATATAATGACATCGATGAAAAATGTACTTTTCAAAATAATGAAATTTTTTTTTAATAAGAGAACGATTTTCGTTTATAAAAAAATAATTTAAAATGAGTAAAATTGACTCAACAAGACTGTATAAACGGAGTAATATGTTTTGTCAGTGCAATTGTATCAAAAGAATCATATCAGTTTTAAACAAAAAAAAGACGATACAAACAACATTCTCAATTTCAATGCTACCTCAAAAATTTAATGAATATTCATTTAAAGCCACCTAAAAATCTTTGGCCGTTTTGAATTAGAAATTTCATTGGTCCGGCAAAAAATAGATTTTTCATAAAATGTCATTCTTAAGTTTGAACTGTGTGTATAATTAATATAGATTACATAATAACTTACAATTAAGAGAAACAATTGTCGATATATGTACAAATATTAAAGGCACCAAAATGGATGGATTTGTATATTAATATAAATATATATGAGCATCATATTTCGTGATAATAACGTTCGATTATCAGAAACAGTAATTAAAGTTTTTGCACGAAACACCGTTCACATTATGAACGGTCAGTGCAATTCACTAATTAATAACATTTAAACATACAATGTTTTATATAGAATGTCTCGCATCAAACTTCATCTTAGATCCAAGAAAGAAAAAACGTAAAGATACAATGTTCAAATGTACCTAAAAATACTAATTAACGATTTTTGGATTCTAATTTCGATAAGGTACACTCTATATAGATTGCGCAATTCATCACTAATATGTTAAACTTAATAAATAGCAATTGTAAATGTTAATATAAGAGATAAACAGTTATAACTAAAACTCAACGTGGGTTCGTTATAAAATTTGTTTGATATAAAATTAAGCTTGTATAAAATTGTGTCAACCTAATCATATGCTAGTACACAACAATAAATATAAAATTTAGTAATTTGCACGAAAATTAAGTCCACCCACAACAGTTACAACAGAGCCACTACAAGACAATTAAACATTAGTAAAATATACCTACTTAAAAACATAACTTTAATAAACATTTTTTGGATGATTTTATAACTATTTTTGAATTACATCAACAATCAAGAAAATGTGACCACTTGGGAGAAACAAATCATGGAAAAATGGAGAGATGAATTACAAGTTTGTAAAAATGTATCGTTCCTCGAGTTCCAAAACCACGAAAGCATTGTTTTATTTAGTATTATTTTTGTAAAAAATTTCTTGCAAATAGCAATATGAGCATATAAAATATTGATTATCGCCATTATGCAGCTAAAGACATTCTAGAAATGCCAAAAACATGAATGTGTCACTTTCAGTATCATCGTTATGGCTTCCATTGTGGTTAAAGCTTCGGGCTTAGCAGAGATTAAATTAACTTTAAACCCACTATGTGAATAATTTCAGGATAAAAAAAAATTCTAGGATTATGTACCTTTTTGAAGTTGGTGAACTTTAATCAAAAAGGAATGAAACAAACATGTTGATAAAATAATAACCAGAGATTAGGGACATAAAGATAGGAAACGCAACGACCGCAGCAACGATGGCGTCATCTATGCATCTCAGATGTTAACTAAAGGTACACGTTGTTTGTAGACAGACAGTAGACGTGGACAGTTTGTAAATATAAATGTCAATTAGTTATGTATAAAGTAGAATCCTGAATTTGAATTTTAAATTTTGAGTTCATGATTGTGTTATCCTCTAGATGAACTAAGCGAAATGGTTGTGGCTTTTTTGGGTGTAATTTGAGGACAATATTTTGTAATATTACAATAAGTCGGAGAAAGTATTGCATTAGTAACACATGTTACATGAATAAGATCTAGTCATGTAAGAAAGTAACACAAATAGTAGCCAACTTTTGTCACAAAGTAGATATTTATTTACTATTTATTGTTTTAGAAAAAGAAAATGGCTTCAAAGCGTTAGAAAGAAGATTTGATATAAGAAGAAAAATATCTGAATTCCCATTATTGAGTTTGCACTCAACATTTTTAAATAAGACATCATTGGCCATTCGTTTGGAAAATAAGAACAAAAATGTTAATGTTACAAATAACGATCAAAAATTCAAAAATATTTGTCATGACTAGATTTACAATAATTAATCTATCCCAAGTAGCACCATGAAAACATTTTCGATTTATTTCAGTTTTAAAATGGTTTTAATGTAGTAAAAAAGAAGATACTGGTTTTACAGTTACCTTATAGATATATTGCGGGCACTTAAAAGCCGTTTAGCATTTAATACTGGTTTTAAAGTATCTAATAAGATTCGCTAATAAGGGCAATTAATCTTAAAAGTTTGTATGTCTTGTTGTAGTTTTAAAATGGTTTAGTTTCAATTAACTTTAAAACTACTTAGTTTTCTGAAGGACTTGCAGGTTGTTTGGTTTTATTATGTTTTAGTTTGCAACGTTTTAGTTTTTAAGTAGTTTTAAAGAGATTCTTAATGTAACTAATAAAACCTATTATTAAATCTGCTTGATCTTAGGACAATTTGGTCAGTAAATATTGCGTTTTAAAACTATTTCAGTACTTTTCCTAAAAACGGCTTTCTTAAATGCAGTTAGATAGCTATATTAAAACGGAACGCTCTTAACTAAATCAATTTGGTTATCGTAAAGACTAACTAACTAAAATAAATTATCTTTAAAAGTATACATGTAACTAACATTATTAAGTCCGCTTCAAAACTGCTTCAAGGTAATATAGTTTTATGGTGGTTTTTATTTTCGGTTTTATTGACCTCTTTCAGAGTGGGCCCTTTTATGCTGAAAGCGTATTTATTACAACCTTAAGGCTCCTTTTAAAACTAATTGGTTTTAATTGCAGTTTTATTTTACAGTTTTAAAGCATCCTTAAGTACTGAATAAAACCGTTCGGTGCTACTTGGGAGACTGTAAGTGTAGTATACTTTTTAATAAATAATTTAAATTTATTTACCAGAACGTGATAGTGCATTCGATATTTATACAACCTTTATTATCGGGTTTTTAAATTTCCCGCTGCGTTATTTGTTTGATATCGATGAAAGCGCCACATAGTGGGTCAGATGTTAACTGCGTTAAAGCTGGTCGTTGTTAAGCATTGGCTTCTTATGAGCGTTTCCTATCTTTATCTCTCTTATCTCTGATAATAACAGAATAAGGACCCGAATTAAATCCTACTAGAGAATATAGTAAACACAAAATATGTTAATTTGAGATTCGAGGATTTCTGGCACATCGGTGTCTAAATAAATCCCAGAAATTCAACTTTATCTGCAGAACAGCAGCAGGAGTTTACTTCAAGAACCCAAGAACTGGCGTCAGATATTTACTGTTAAAGAATATCAGATCAGTTTCACCAGAAAGAGTAAACCAATGATTGATCTATCTATAAAACAAGTTCTGAGTAGTATCATTCTTATTTGGTCAATCTTAAAGTCAAAAAATTGCATTAGTTAGAGCAAAATTAGATTGCAAAATGTAGATGTGGTCAATGTTTAAGGAACACACACAGAGTGAATGGCTTAAACAAACTTATATAAAACACAAATCATGAATCATATCAACTGGTTATCAAGTTATCAAGTAAAGCAGGTGGCGTGCAATATTTTGAATTATTATCCAAAGAGTACAAAATATAACTATAAAAGAGGAGTCACTCGCCCAATTACCGCCTTCTAACGCGATCAGCCGCCAGTCCTCCACAGTCCTTTCCCGATCGGCAGTATACCGGTGTAGTTCAACGCGTAAGGCTCGTTTGCTCCGCTACGTTAGATTCCGCTATGTATTGGCCGTTACATTCCACTATCATCGCCGCCGCGTCTTACCGCTTAACCCCGGTATAGCCCAATTAGCTCTGTACTCTTTGAAAAAACGCCGACTTGTCGGCCCGCATTTGAAGCGCGATTTCCTTTGTAAATGCCGCGAGTGACTTCTCTTTTATAGTTATATTTTGTACTCTTTGTTATTATCTCACAATTATTAAAAGAAATGTTCCCTCACCCAAATAAAAACAGGTACACACGGTGTAGATACATAAAAATTTCTTCTCGTATTTAATTTTTTGTGTGGCTCTGATGCAAATTAATATTTAACAATAATTGACTCCCAACTTTACGAAAGTCCGCACGTGGTTTAAAAAATCGTATTTTCCTTTGTAAGTAGACCGAATATGATATAATAATAGTAACAACTACCTTATTTGATAAATTAAAAACTATATATGTATGAAAAACATACCCAACAGTAAAATAACGCTCCCATAAACTGTGACAAAAATACATTACAAATGCTAAAATTTCATAATTAACAAATTTATAATTAATAAAATATCAAAAAATCTTTATTGCCATCAAATAGGTATGATATATATATTGCAAAAATCACCAATTTAACCCCAAATATCACCAAATCAAATAATTTCAGTTATCAACAAACTTAACTTTTGGCGGGGTAAAACTAGCGACTAAACGTTTTGAAGAGCAGCTTTTTCAAAACAAAACAAAAAGTTAATAAATAATTTACCTAATCGAAAAATGAGTAAATGAGTTTGACTTACGACCAATAATTCTAAAAAAAGACATGAGCAGATTTGTTTTAGGCACTTAAGTTACAACCAGATGAGTACGTTATCAGGTCTTGTAGTCGTGGGGTTTATTAATGATTGCACATCGTCTAACATGGGAAATTCTTCTTCCCCCAATTGCAGTGTAGGTTCTAAGTCGTCCGTCGAGTCAATGTTATCACTTAAATTTGATATGTCAGGGGTGTCCATCGTGTGACTCTCGCTACCGACCTCCATATTATCGTCCATATTTGCTAAGAAGTCTTCAGGAGTGTGTGGCACTGAATATGTCGTACCCATACCTGAAAGGTTTTTAAATAATAATACTTTATTATTAATCTAATTTTTTTAATGTGCTCATGCATGTAGAAGTAATGTTTGTTCTATGAGGTATGTCGAGGTACAATGTAAATAAATTTTACTTAATATAATGTCAAATGTTCATAGGTATAAGATTTGTACTTTCTTATTTTTAATTGTAAATTTTCTATGCTTCATATTTTCAAATTATCTTTATTAGGGTGGCTCAAAAAAAGCGAATATTTTTTTTAAGTCTCCTATGAAAATATGTTAATTTATCATGTTTTAAGAGCCCCCTTCAAAGGACAGCTGAAAAAAAAATTTTTTAAAGGGTCGCTCCGAATTTTAAAAAAATTCCAAAATCGTCGAAAACAGGATTTTTTTTTTGTTTTAAATTTTTTTCTCATTATTTCATTTTTTCTATAAGAAAAATCATAAAGATCCTGAAAATTTCAAGTCGAAATTTTAATATTGAAAGGTCACTCCGAATTTTTTTAAGGTTTCAAGTCGAGTACTTTATATCTTTTCGAGCTACTTTTGAATATGAATATTAACGAACTTTATATTTTTTTTCTTCAATTTTAAATACTAAAGAATGAAATTGAAGCACGAGAAACGAAAAAAAAGTTTAATGAAAAAAAAAAAATATAAAATATAAAAAATATTCGCTTTTTTTGGACCACCCTAATCTTTATATTGTTAACTATCATTATACTTGTGTATAAGTGAATAGATGCAGTGACACCTTCCTTGTTTATTTACATTGTTTTCTCAGTGTATTGTTAAATAAATATTATTATTGCAAGCATAATGCCGTGATTTTGTACTCTCACGGAAAACACATCCTTTATAATTTATCCCTAATAACTTCGGTTTCCAAGTTTCTGGAAGAAAACTTTTATAGCTCCTATTTATTACACAAAGAAAATAACTAGTATGAAGATATATAAAGCTTGGCATTCTACGAGGTGTGGCATTTAAGACTCTCTTTCAGCGTTCTCTTTCAGCATTCTCTTTCAGAATACTCGACAGAGCGCAACACGCGAATCAGACAAGGATTGAGCAACTGACGACTAATCACCTGGGGGAGAAGGTCCCCCCAGTCGCCAAGTAGGAGACTGGGGGAGCTTTCACAGGTGGCGACTTTCACAGAACGTGCAGAAATGCCCTCAGCAAACCCTGTCTAAATGCTGATAATTTGTCATCCTTCACAGCCCTTTAAGAAGGAATGGCATACCAACCAAAGGATGGAAAATTGAGGCCCCCTGTAGCGAATTTGTCAGGGGGGGATGGTGAGGTTTGGAGGGTTTTGATCCAGTCTAACAGGATGGGAACCTTCCCGACTTGGGCTCAATTACTCAGTGTGTGTGTGTGAGGTGTGGCAGAAAAGTAGTTCCCTTGGGCAGCTACACATTGTTATGGTTTTCAGCATGTCCGTTACAGTCTTTTAGATGATTTCTAAGGACATTTTTCAGTTTAGGAAAAAGGAAGAAGTCACTGGTACTGAGGTCAGGGGGATGGGGGAACTACAGGAATGCCTTTTGAGGTCAAAATTCTGTTATGGAGAGGGTAGTGTTACATGGGATGACATGATCGAGCAACCATTTCTCTGCAATGTCTGGTCTCACGCAAATTACCTTTTTTCTGCGCCTTTCAAAGAGCCTTACAAGTCTGTGATTTCTTCCTTTTTTTAAGCTGAAAAATGTCCTCAAAAGCCGTCATTTCGGGACTGTAACGGACATGCTAAAAACCATAACAGTTGAAGACTTCCAACACTGCTACGAATAGAAGGAACAACGTCTTCATCGGAGTGTAGCTGCTCAAGAGAACTACTTTGAAGAGGATAACATTGATGTTTGAAAGAAATAAAAACTTTGTAAAGTAAAAACTCAGTCTCATTACTTTTCTGCCACACCTCGTATATTACACTCTTCATAGTTTAACAGACCTCCTTAACCCCCCTTTTTAATCAGATTATTTCAAAATCAATAGGCTTCATTTCCTTATAAAGCTTAATTTTTACTAAAAATTTCATATTTATATAGCAACTCGTTTTTGATTTATGATTGTTTTTAATTTAACCCCCATATTTATTTGGGATTTTTAAAAATCAAGACTACGTCCTCTAATAGAGCTTGATTTTTCTGAAAATTTTAAGTGGAATATTTTTCGTTTTTGAGTTAGGATAATTGTAATTTTTTTCTTTTAAGAGTTAGGCGTTTTTTAAAATATTTCAACCCTCCTTAACTTTCCCATTTTTATTTAGATTTTTTTAAAATTAATGCTTCGTCCCATTACAGAGCTTGATTTTCCCGAAAATTTCAAGTTGATATTATTTTTCGTTTTTGACTTTTCGTGAGGACAAAAAACGTGAAATTGGACATTTAAATTTGATGAAAAGTATTTTGGTACAAACATTTTTAAATTTGGATTATTAAAAATTTTGATTTAATTAACAATTTTAAATCAAACGCAATATATATCTGTACCCCAGAGCCAGAGTATGTTAAGTCCAAAAACTTAGTTTTTCAGGAGAGCAATTTTTATATATTCATTTTAGACTGTGGAGTGTGGGCTTAGCGTAGTTAAAAAATGAGCTGTTTTTGTTATTTTAAAAGATACGTCAAAATGGAAAATATCAAACCATGCGCCGCAAAATTTTAAATCACTTAACATATTTACCTAAAATTTGGCCAATTTGGACTTAACATAGTCTGGCTCCGAGGTACAGATATGTTCTTTTTGTTCTCACAATTTTTTTCAGTATATTAGCCTATTAATTTTGAATTTTTTTTATTAAAAATAGAGGGGTGTTAAGGGGGATTGAAATATTAAAAAAAATCCTAACTCAAAAACGAAAAATGATATCAACTTAAAACTCTATAAGTATTTTGAAAAAATCTAATTAAAAATGGGGGTTAAATATAAATATAAAAAAAAGTCATAATTTAAAAGAGAAAAGCGATATCAACATAAAATATTAATAAAAATCAAGCTCTATAAGCGGATGAAGCCTATTGATTCTGAAAAAAAATCTAAATAAAACTGGGTGATAAGGGGGTTTAAATTTAAAAAAATCAAAAATGAAAAACGATATCAATCTGAAATTTTCAGGAAAAATCAAGTTATAGAAGGGGACGAAGGTCTATGAATAAAAATGAAGAAAAATTGAAATGAAAAAAAATCATAAATTAAAAGCGATAATAACCTGAAATTTTTCGTACGATCTACTACGTAATGTAATTTTTATCAATTTGGCATCAATTTGCAAGAAAGAGTGCATAAGAAAGTTCTTTAGGCAGTGTGCTTTTAGGATGGGTTATTATTAATATTATTATTTTTTTGTGATGGGTTATTATTATTATTATTTTTTTGTGTGTCATCGGCTTCAACTACTAAGGTTATCTAGCCTCGTGTTCTGTGTAGGCTTTGTTACTGTTTCCCAGCGTCATTTTAGGAACAGCACTGTTAATTAGAACCCAACAGTGAATGATCGAGTGGGGACTCATACCAAGGTATCAGAATTAATTTTAAATAATTAAATTAAATAAAAAAATCCCGGCCAACGGTGGGATTCGAACCTGGGACCCTTGAATCCGCAGGCAGAGACTCTACCATTGAGCCACCCACCCCCTATTATTATTATTATTATTATTATTATTATTATTATTATTATTATTATTATTATTATTATTATTAATGGATAATTATTAATATTTTTAATTTAGAAACTGGAGAAATGTGGATTGATTAATGGTCACGTCAACTGACCTATTATGTGAAAAACATTTGACGGTTTTAAAATATAACAAATTAAGAAATCTACGCGATGAATAATCAAATAATTCACTGTATCATTGTAGCCCCTAAACTGTGCCAATGGCTATGGCTTTTCGTTTCACTTTGTGACATCTGGAGTTCCTCAAGGTAGCAACTTAGGACCTTTACTCTTTAAGCTTTTTATCAATGCATCTGCACATACAAATAATATACAGCAATAAAAATTTTGTTCCAACCTGACGATATAATATATATTCCTAATAGGGACAGACAAGTATAAATAATATAATAAAAATACAGAATATCGTGTCTTAGAGAGCAATGTTAAGTACTTTTCAGTTTACAACGAGGAAAAGGAAACTAGCCTGATATTTATAACCTGTATTACACATATTATTAAGTACAAAAATTGTCAATTAATCAATTATATAAATTTCAGAGTGCCAAAGATTAATTTAAAAATAACATTTGATTTATTTTTGTTCTGTATAGCATATTCAGAAGATAGGTTTGAAACTATGATTGAACTGTTTTTGTAGTGCCATAATATTTAAGTAAGGATAATTTCCTGACCGTAGTAGAATATAAATAATAATTTCCTAGGTTTAATCGGTAATTCTTTTTATTATCAAATGTTTAGCACTACATATGTTTCGGAAATTAATTTTTTTCCATCTTCGGGTGCAGTCAAAAGTTAAATTTTTTTATAAAAAAACACAAGGGGACAATTACAACAGTTTAAAATTTTTTAAAATAGCAAAACCCCATCTTTTTCTTTCATCGTGTGAAGGTGTATTCGAAATAATATTTAAGATTTTTAATATCGATAGTTATAAAATTAATGTGTCTATTATTTGTTTTTCTGGATTGTCAGTACAAAAGGAAAAAAAATTAAAATGAAGCAATAAAATTATCTGCAATCTTTATAAGAAATGTCTTTTTAAATTGGTACTGTTGCAATACATCTCTAAAAAAATAGATATAATTAAAGAGTATCATAACTGTATATTCAAATTCCTGATCTTGCTTTGCATTTACTTATTTTTAAAATTAACATACCGCATTTTAATTAACCTTGACTAAATAGCTGGACATAAATTATATCAATAAGGTTAAGGCCTCAAAAGTTCAGGTCGTGTCATTTCATAATATAATATAAATTATTATAACATATAATATAAAAAAAAATTAAGAAAAATAAAAATAAGTAAAATAGAGATTTTGGTATAAAAATTAACTTACCCAAACCACTATCTCCAGATTCCTGCCTCGAATGATCAGTCAAGCTGGAAAGAAAGGGATCCATGACTGGCAAATCACTGGAACTCCTCATCATAATTTCTTGTTGCCGTCGAATTTCTTGCTGTCTCTGTTTAAGTCTTTCCCGTTCCATTTGTAGCTGCTGTAACCTAATTTGTTGGGCTTTGGCCGGAGAGGAAGACAGAGTTGGCGAGTGCCACGTTGATCCCATGATGTTACCACCGGAAGTGCGTTGTTGTAAGTGTGTAGCTGCAAAAAAAAACATTAATTATGCATTTCATTCAAATCAAACAATGCTTTGAAAAATGTATGTAACTCTGATAATAAATAATACACTCTGGGACAAATTTATTTTTTGATTTCTTAAATTGTTTAGAAATACAATTTTTATATTCGTGGCACTGCAATTAAATAGAGTATCTTCATTGTTAGGGAATAAACATAGTGAAAAGTGAAAAAAATGATTTATTTTAAGAGTGTGTATTTCCATTTTTACTTGAATAGGAATCATGATTATTTCGACCAGCAATTTTTGACGGATTTTTACGTTTTGGGGTCCCCTGAATCCGTTTTGACTATTTTCGCGATGATGTCTGTGTGTGTGTCGGAACATCTGGGGGGGAATTTATAGGGGTCATTTTTATATTTTATAAAATATATCTGTTATTTACGTTTGGAGAAGAAAATTTTACAAATAAAAGTTACTTCTTATATTATTCTCTATAATTTTTGTTCTATACAAAATTTTCCTAAAATGGTCCGTATTCGAAAAATTTGACAAAATGTAAAAAAAAACAAATTTTTATGAAAATTGTTCAAATAAAAGTTGTTTGTGATATAATTCTTTATAATTTTTGTTCTATACATAATTTCTCTAATATGGACCGTATTCGAGATATTTGAGAAAAAGTGTAAATTTTGAATATTAAAGGAAACTCAAAAACGGATAAAGAAAAACACATTAAATTTTAAACTTAAGCTTTATTCCGGCCTGAGGTGAATTGATTAGATTTTGGGCAGAGTCGGAACATCTGGGGGGTAATTTCTAGGAGCTCATTTTTATATTTTATGAAATATATCTGTTATTTTTGTTTGGAGAAGAAAATTCTTTAAATAGAAGTTACTTCTAATATTATTCTGTATAATTTTTCTTCTATACAAAATTTTCCTAAAATGGTCCGTATTCGAGAAATTTTTCAAAATGTAAAAATTCTGATTTTTAAGAAAATTGTTGAACTAAAAGATGTTTGCGATATCGATCTCTATAATTTTATAATGTATATATGTATATATAAGTTAACCTCTAAATATTTACAGAGGTGCTACAATAGGTTGTACAAAATAACCGAAAAAAGCCTGTAATAACTAGATAGGAAAGTAATGTGTTGGACACATCAGATTTTTAAATGTGATGTGATGTTGGAGGGGTATAAGGTAAAAACAAGTCAACTACTGTATACACTTATCAAATACAGGGTGTTACTAGATTCGACCGACAATTCTCTACCCTATAGAGCTCTCAAAATTTTCCATAAATCAAAAAGCGCGTTTGGCCTTTTTTTTTATATTTGAAGACCAATATAGTAGTAATACTAAGTTCATTTCTATGTCTGTGATACAACAAAGATATTTTTGTAAAATATATGAATTTGACAAAATAAAAAACATAAAATTACTATTTATTTATAAGGATAAATCTTAATTTATTTTTTATTTTTAAAAGAAAACCTCCATTTTTGTAGTAAAAATTCAAATTTATTCGACATTTTTGGATAAGAATCTTTTATGGAAAAAGTTCTATCAACTGTCAAAATGGCCACCATATTGGATAAGTTACTAATAACTCGTTGAAGGAAGAAAATATGGGACTGTATATTACCTTTAAAAACTCTGTAAATATTAAGTGTTCCCTCACTCACGAATATTTTAAGAACATTATAATTAATTATAAACAGTGTCGCGCTATCACGGTTTTACCCCTCTATTTTTTACGCAACTGGAACAAATATTTTATTCTTAATTTATTTTTAATTTTTAGTTAAAAAAAAAATACATTTTATGGAGCTAAAATTAATGTTGTAGAAATTTGCTTCTAAACAAGAGTCTGCTAGTACTTAGATTATTTGTAACTACTCAATATTTCTAAATTCTAACTTAGTAGACACGTGTATTAGACAAGATCTGGGTGGGTCAAATTTAAAAAAAAATATTTAACGTTCGTTTTTGATTTTTGGCGATTTTGAATTTTGATTTCAAACTTTTAAACCCTGAATCTTGGTAACTAAGCCCTTCAAGGGTTCATGTTCCTATATCAAAATGTATTAATTAACGAGAGCTCTCAGGGGGTAGAGCGTTGTCGGTCGAATATATTAACACCCTGTATATGTAAAAAGTGATTTACAAAAAATGCTTCTAAAGTAGGCCATGTCCGACAAAGACAGATATACAATTCTGAATCAACCCAAATTGTATGCTCCGAAATGTATGAATTTTTCCAATTTTAGAAACATTTTTGTGAATCACTCTATATAATCAAATATTGTGGTTAAATTTGAAATACAGTTTTTTTTTTATTAAGTTCAACAACAATACAATTTTAACGTACCATTGTTCTTTATAATTAATGGAGATACAGTCACGATATATAAAATTTATAATAGTTCTGTTTTTTTTTACAAATATTCTTACAAAAATATTTCGAGTTAAAATTATGAAATCAAAGAACCCGTACTTTTTATATTGTTTTTGGGTACTGTCAGAATTTGTTCAAATGTAATTTTTCAGGTCATTAAACGCAACTTTCTTATGGACTTGAGAGTGCAGAATAAATATTTTCATATATCTCTTTACCGCTCTTAAGTAATTCATGTTTTTTCCATGAAAATTATACCACGTGGACCATGTGGATTTTTATTTAAATTGCATGGTTCGTTATAGGATTTGATGTGTGCCGTATTAATATTAATTAAATTTCTGTTGATATGACATGCAGATTATAAAATCGACATGCGTAAGCGTCTCGATGATGGTGGATGAGGTTTTCCGGGTTTTCCTTACCTGTAAGTCAAATGGCATCATCAATCATCTTTAAGTCACCCCGGAGCGCCACGGCAAATAATAATATTCGTCCCTTCCCCTACACAAGTCGTTCAGGTAACTTCAAGGTTTGAAATTCACTGGTAAGGGGGCGAATTAGGGAGAGTATTATTATTATTATTTAGTTAGTGTAAAATAATTCATACAGAATGTTCAAAAAATTATCTCTCACCCTGTATTATTAATAAATATTATCTAGTATTTAAATATAACAAATAAGTGATAAGTTATTCTAACAGTGACGGTGATAGTCATGTTCTAATTATGAAATTTCACCTTATAGTCCTATATTTTTTAACATTCTATATGATTCATTTTGCAAAGTGCAAGTGGGCATGAACTAGCTATATAGAAGTATAACACATAAGTTTCATGGAAAAACATGAATTACTTAAGAATGGTAGAGTCATTATGAAAATATTAATTCTGTCCTCCTTATTTTTGACTCTTTTTACCAGCTCACCCTGTAGAGCTCCAAATTTGGAGTCCATAAGAAAGTTGCATTTAATAACCTAAAAAACATACTTAAATTTTAACAAATTCTGACAGTACCCAAAATTGATATAATTGGTTTTGTTGCAATAAGTTCTGTTTGAATTTGCTCTGAGATTTCTTCACTCTCAGCCGGTTGCAAAAATGTTCATTAAAATGTAATTTGAAGTGTATGCAATTCAAACAGATCAAATTCTCACATTTCAAGGGACGTTATTGCAACCGGCTGTCGACTCTAATTAAATTATTTAAAAAAAAAATGGGAAAAAGTGCTTTGTACTTCACCTCGAATGTAGAAATGTATACACTGGTAATAAAGAGTTGCCTCTTTATAATAAGCAGTAAACCCTAAAACTACAAAATAAAACATAACCTTTTTCATAAAGAATGTTTTTTTACAACCTCTAGGAACTGATAAAAATGTATAATAAATCTTGAAGCCCACAAAATATTAATGGAGGCATTATTTGTAATATTATAATGACAAAATAAACGTGTACACAATGGTAACTTTTCCTTACAGATTCTACTTTTTTATCAAGTATGACTGGAATATTATGTGTAACTATCTGATGGTAGTTGTTGGTTTGACAGCCCAGTGCAAATATAGAAACTATTTAGTGATATAAAAACAAGAAAATATATAGTATATACTGGCACTGAAAACCTAACAAATCGAATATCTCGAAAGATAATTTTTTGAAAAAATAAAAACACGCTTAAACAGGACGATTTTTATTCCAAGAGTGACACCTTTCTGTCATATCTTCAACTGTCATACGTCAATCCCTTCCGTTTCGTCACGTATGATAAATGATTAAAAAGACAATTTAATTTTACGTTACTTTTGATTTTAGCGCCCTCTAGAGGGATACAAACTGTTACTATTGTAAAGTGTGGCACTTAATTTGAAAGCAAATTTGAATAGTAATTTAAATGCACAAAATTACAAAACAATAACTGAAGTTAAAAAATTAAAAAACATTGCAGAGCTCTAACGTTAAGAAATACAAACTTTAATCGCAATCAACTAAAACAACAAATGTATTACTAATAAAATTAGCTTTCAAATGAAGTATCACATTTGACAGAACATACATTTTTTTAACCAGGGCGCTATAATCAAAATTAACGCAAAATTTAATTACCTTTTCAATGGCGTGTGTCAATAGGTACTTTATTTTTTTAAATCGTATTGGTCATGTGACGAAGGAGAGAAAGAAGAATGATAGAGAGGTGTTCCCCTTGGAATAAAAATCGATCGCGTTAAATTGTTCTTCAAAATATTCAATCCATCTCGTTTTCGGCGCTTTACCATGTATGCACATTTGAAAAAAAAAAAAAATCATAAGTTTCCTCCTATATCATTATATTGATCGAAAAACAAGACATTTTATTAGTCTAGGAGTGTCGAAAATTTCAGAAGCTTTTTTTTTGTCAGAATCTTTTAAAAATACGCCAAATATTATAGAAATGCAATTTAACCGGATTTTTTTTATAGGTGTACTTTAATACAAATTAAAAAAGGTCCTAATAATTTTTTGACAAAGTTAACAATTTTGACAAATTTGACCGGCTTAAAAATTTATAAAAATAACTTAAATATTTTTTTATATATTCTTTATTCAAATCGTCTAAAATATTAACCTTTTTTCAGGAATTGTTTGAAAAATTTCGTTTAAAAAAAAAATGAAATTATGGCAAACTGCATTTATATAATATTTAGCATATTTTTAAAGAATATTGACAAAAAATTTCGTTTCGAAACTCATGTTTTATTATCGTATGCACATGATTTTGTCATTATTATTTGATAGCCTTATTTTACCCTTGTAGAGAATCATAATAGACGCCCCAACTCTACTGATTTTATTTTCCGCATAAAAAAGAGTTAAAGACAAAAAAGAAAATGGTGGAAAGTTAGAACTTACGAATTCTAGGATCGAACCACGAAGTTGTGCGTGTTTGGTGGTTAATGAAATAGATTTCACCCTCGGGAGTTTGTGCCTGCTCCCATCCTTCAGGTAAAGGCCCTAAGTCTACATCTGTATTAACTTTGGCAGCTGTGGAAAAACAATTCCAATTAGAATCATTCTGTTTTTCAACAAATAGAATAAGAGAATGAAACTACTGCCTAAAACAATGTACTTGCAGAGCTATACTCTATTTCAATAAAAAAGATCCATTGGTAATTAGTACATTTTTATATGTGTAAAACACCTTCACCAATAGACATTTTTATTTTGAAATAGAGCATGTAACATTACATTTGAAGGATAGGTATAAGCTATAAGCGTCAAAATAACTGATTTTTTCAACATATAACATAGAAACGTACACAAGTTAAGAAAGAGGCTAGACCACAACCGAATTTCCTCAATCTTCCTACCACCTCGGTTTAGTAGCACATTTTACCACATTAGTGATTACGTCAAAATCCTCATACGCACTAGTGTATGCAACATGCAATCCCACCATATATACAGACAACATATATAATATTCTAGTAGTAAGACATAATTATTAAATATTTTAATTAGATATTTAACTTAAAACTATTGCAGATTTTCTATATATTATTATTTGCCTGAAAATGACTTTATAAGATCCAAAGCTTTACAATTTTTTGAAAAAATATAATAAAAGTTAACACTGGTTAAGAGACTGTGTTTTTATCTTCACTGTAGATATCAATAAACTGAAATATTCTAAAAAAAATGTTCTATGAAGTTTTCTTGGATAATTCAATATTTTTTGAGGTATGTGCGAAAGAAAAAGTTGATTTTTCATTATAAAAATGCATGTTTTACAGGGATTTTTCACGAATAACTTAAAAACCTTACGTTTTATCAAAAAAATTATAAAAAATAAATAAAAGCATCTCAAAAACGTATTTTCTTTTAAAGTTGTTATAAAAACTGACAAAGTTAACATGAAAATAAAGTGGCTGCCTCGTTTTTCAGAAGAAAAAATCAGAGGTGAAATCAATGGCTTGTCCGCAAGAATTAAAATTATGCGAAATTCATTTTAAATGTATTTTATTTAGGCACTAACAATATGTTCTAGAAGTTTAAATAGTTTAAAATGCTTAGATTGGAATTAAAGTTTGATTCAATTCTGGAATTTTTTAAAATACCACAAAAACTAAAGATTTTAAAAAAATATTAGAATTAAGAAATGTAGGTTTTTGCAAATATTTTTTTTTCTGCTGGGCACAATTACTTGAGATATATCACCTTATTTATTTTGCATTTGAGTACGAGTACCACCTTTTCCTGGTCCTTTACTTTAAACTCAAAAATCTAAAACGAAAGATTCAAGTATGTTCAATTCTGGAGGCCTTATAGCCCTTGAATTTACCTGCAAAATGGGTTTTTAAGTCATTAGATAGCTTTAAAATTAAGGGAATTACCGATAAAAAAACTATCGGGGTTTTCGGTGAAAATTATGGAGCACGTGAAGCGTTTATAAATGCATCTAAACAAACATAGTTTGGTAACCATAGAAATTCAGACAAGCATCAACGCACAGAAAGCCACAGGATATGACCATATTAATGGAGAAATATTAAAGAAATTGCCAAGGAAGGCTATCGTTAAATTGACATACCTCATAAATGCAGCTTTTCACGTTAAATATATATTAGATGCGTGGAAAATGGATGAAGTTATCCTAATCCCTAAGCCAGGAAAACTTCAGAATGAAGTGTCATCATCTAGATATATATCACTGTTACCAATAATATCTAAGCTATTTGAAGAGTTACTCAACAATAGATCAAGTACACAGGATAGCCGATATCATCGAAAAAGCATACGAAGAAATACGTATATGCTCAGCTATATTCATTGACGTAGCCAAAGCATTTGACAAGGTTTGGCACGCTGGTCTGATACAAAAACTTAAAAAATGCTCCATAGACAATATTAGTCCAGGGAAGTTAGGAAAAATAGCGGAAATTTTTATGGACAGCAGATATCGAGATGCGGTTTTCTGCATTTTGTTCAGAAAGGTCCCAGGAAAAAAGTCTATCGTCTAGTTTAGCCATTTTTTGAAAAATGCCTTCTGGGCCGGAAAATGCATTTTTCAATTGCATCATTACTTGCACCATTATAGGAACGACTGGAAACTCAGAAAAATCGCTCGGAAATCGTTACTCGGGGGGTTTTCGAGGCTGCCAAACTCGATTCTGGCATTAGAATTACCCGGGGATGGCTCTGTGGGGGATGCGCGGGGGGTGAATTGGGAAGAAATGGCAGCGTGCATAAAAATCGCTCCAAACTCGTTACTAGGGGGTTTTCAGAGATGCCGAATTCAATTCCGGCATTGGAATTACCCAGGGGCGCTCGTGGCCTGCTCTGCGGGGAGTATCCGGGGGGTCATTCTGGGGGGAAATTGCATAGTCCATGGGAAGCGCTCCAAACTCGTTACTCGGGGGTTTTCGGAGATGCCGAATTCAATTCTGGCATTAGAATTACCCGGGGGTATGAATAATAAAAATTTTGATTGAATATTAAATAAATAAATATTACCTTCCTGAACACAATGCAGAAAACCGCATCTCGATATCTGCTGTCCCTAAAAATTTCCGCTATTCCGGTCGATTTTGATCTAAATGCCCTGGACTATATGTCGACACTAACGGGAAGAATGTTTAAAATGAAGCAAGATGAGGTATACTCTGAAATGAAAGAAATTAAAGCAGGTGTCCCACAAGGCAGTGTGCTAGGACTGGTTCTTTACTTATTACACACCAGCGATATCCCTAAACAACAATGTGTTAAAATTGCAACATTTGCGGATGAGAGTGTAGTATTGGCAGTTGGCCGAACTAATACAGATACCTCAGAAAACCTAGAGGAAACCTGCAATAGAGTCAATCAATCGATGGACAAAAAAGTGGAAAATAAAATTAAATCAAACTAAATCAGTAAGTACATGTTGATTTTACTTTTCGACAAAATGAACAAAAAAGAATAAATAATGACATACCTAGGATTGAACCTACATGGAAAGAACACGTAAAAAAGCATAAAGAACTTGAAATTAAATACAAAAAAAAATGTATTGACTCCTAGGAAGAAAATCTAAGTTGCCAGTGTACAACAAACAAACTGCTGATTTATAAACAAATCCTAAAACCAGTCTGGATTTATGGCAAATAGGCTATGGGGATGTGCTAGCAAGAGTAATATAAACATTAAACATGATAAAAGTTTTCCAAAATTAAGTCCTAAGATGCACCTTGGTTCTATCAAAAGGAATCTTCATAGAGACCTGAAGATGCAAACAGTTGAAGAAGAAATAAAGGGGTTTGCTGCACTCCCACGTCAAAGAAGAAGCGACAACTCTACATCAACAGAAGGCTCAAAAGGAAGAAACTATTTGAGCTAGGCGCAGTGAAGGTTAATAATGTTAGTGCTAGCGTAAAACAGTGTAATAAATCGTCACGCCAACTTTTGATGCTTTCCTATAGAGATAATTAAAACAGTCCAATGTGGACTTATTAGATAAGTAATCAATTCATAAGATTTTTAGATTAAAATATAGGTTAATCAATAATGATAAGTAACAAATATCAAACAAAAAATTGATAATAATTGTTGCGAATTTAAAATAAATTTGATATCTACATCATTAATTTGAATCCTTGTGTACACAAAATATAAGGTCCACAATAACACACGACAGTTTTTTTATATGAATAAACTTATTTGTATATCTGAATAAGTATGGAAAACTAATAATTATTTATATTTAAAAAAGTATTAAAGCTTGTTGCAAAAACGTTCATTAAAAATTACTAGCCTAAAATACTTTGACAGATGTTTACACTGTGACTAATTTGAAGTTATGGTCAATCAGACAGAATGCAAACTAAAACAAAGTTTATCAGACTCATGAATTTTTTGGCAACCGACTGTTATTATTAACAGACTTCAAAAAAAAGGAGGAGGTTCTTAATTCGTCAAAATATTTTTCTATGAATCGTTTTTGTTAGAAAAGGGGATAACTCAGGCCACCCTTAAGGTAGGACCACCTCCCACATAAATTTCGTCAAGATCTGATCCTTTATTGTTTGAAATGATGTATTTTGAATTGTCAATTCATACTTAATACTTTTGTTAAACCATAAGGGATATATTTTAAAATCATTAAAGTTAATTCGATATGGACATTGTAGGCGATTCTTTTGTAAATTACCCAAAATGGAATTTGAATAGTTGCAGATGTTTTCATAATATGCACAACTGTTTGCTACTTAGAAATGTTATTTAATAAATTTGAATATTGTCGTGCGAGCCATTTGCGACCAGTTCGGTACAGCTCTATGTAAAGATAAATTGTCAAACTAATTAGAATATAACTGTTAAATATAAAAAGTTTTGTTCTGAGTACAAACAAATATGCGTATTTACTGTAAATAAATTATAATAAACAGTTTAAATAAATTAATGTTACAATAATTTCTTATATTTTCCCTTAATTGATTAATCGTTATTGCTAATAGATATTATCAAGAATGATCATCGATATGTCTTGCAATACCAGTAAGATAACCTCTGAATAAAACGTTTCCTGATTAGTATCTTTATCGGTTATAAGCAGGTAGGGTTAGGTTTGGCTCAGAACACTGCGGCCTCTTGGGTCTATTGTATTCCCCTGCTTTCCCCGTATTCAGGTACTATCTTTCCCTACCAAGTGTTTCTGGAACGTTCTTTCCGGTTCTAGGCCGAAAAGGATGAAACGTCGCCTAGTAAGAGCTTCGCATTCGAAGTACACATGATATGTTTCTTCCTCTTCCATGCAGGATACACGTAGTGGGATAATTGTGTAATCCCATCACATGAAGATGTTTCAGCAAGCAGTGCCCCGTTAATAATCCCACAATGGTGGATATCTGAGGCCTTGCAAGTTGTAGTGCCTCGGTAGCCATGCATGGGTTTGGTCCCCTTAGCATGAGCTTACTGATTCTGAGCCCTCTTATCTGTTGCCAGTGAATTTGGTGTTTTGTGGTTATCCACCTGTTCACTGCCTGTCAAGCAGAGGTTTTGCTTATTCCAAATACAGGTTCGGGTAGTGTGAATGGTAGATCTGATCCCTCTTTGGCGAGTTCATCAGCCTCTTCATTTCCTTGGATACCTTTGTGCCCTGGTACCCACGCTAGTTTTACCTTGTTGTGGGTTGCCAGATCATTTAGTAGACAAGCTTTGACTTGATTCTGTTTGAATTAAGAGCCTTTAAGGTTGCTTGGCTTTTTGAGAGAATTAGGATGGTTTGTTTTTTGTACTTCCTTCTTAAATTCTCTCGTACACACAATTCGATTGCATGTATTTCAGCCTGAAATACAGTGGTATGTTTTCCCAATGAGACGATGATGTCGCATTTGGGTTTAACTCCATGTACGCCAGAGTCTGTTCCCTTGTTAGTTTTAGATCCATTCGTATACCATACGAGACCGCTAAGTAAGTATTTATCTATCTCCTTATTTACCTCGTTCCAGTTGACCTGAAAGAGTCTGTTAAAGGTTAGGAGGGGTGTCATGTGATCTGATTCCATGTTTAATCTAGAATCATTTACTTCATGTGTTAATCTGGTATGTTTTATATGTCCCAGTGGGTTCCAGTTGTTGGAGATTTCCAGTCTGTATGCACTCATTCTGGTCTCGCCCTTTATGACTAGGTCAAGGGGTGGGAGGTTTAGAATGATTTCCATAGAGGCTGTCGGTATACTTCAGTGGTCCTGTAATACAAAGGCATGCCAGCCTCTGAACTCCTGAGAGGGTATTGAAGGCTGTTTTCTGGTTTACTTTTGGCCACCAAACAATCGCTTCATAAGTTATCATGGGTCTTGTTATTGCCAAATATAGCCAGTGGATCATTTTTGGTTTTAATCCCCATGTTTTTCCAAATGCCCGTCTCCCTACAATGAGAGATATTTTACATATTTGTTGGTCACTTTTTGTAAGTGTTGGTTCCAAGTAAGTTTCCTATCTCGGATTAGACCCAGATATTTTACTTGGTTCGTTCCTCCAGAGTCGGAGTTTCTAAGACCTCCAACCTTGTTTTCCGAGTAAGGATTATGAGTTATGCCTTGTCAGGGTTTACCAAGGGGTTTTCCCTAACGCACCACATTTATGTCAGCCTAAGAGCTCTTTGCATGAGTTTAAAGACTGTGGTTTGGCATATCCTTGGACGTACAGCCCTTGATCGTTCAGTGTTTTCAGCAGGTCATCTGCCACTAGGTTCCACAGTAGAGGAGAAAGGACTCCACCCTGTGAGCATCCCCTGTGGATATTCACCTGCATGGTTTCACTGAACATTTGTGCCTGTACTTGCCATCCACGTAACATGTCTTCCATCCACCAGCAGATGGTGTCTTCTTTTCCATGTTTGCAAGCGGCAGCTATCATTTTTAAAGGAGGCTACTGAGTCCCCCTCTATCTTGGTTACGAGATGATGCAGAGCAGACTCACAAGATTTTCCTGGTTGATAAGCATGTTGGTAAGTAAGAAAGAGGAGCTGTATTGAATGGCCATCCAAATCAGTTAAATTGTTAACTCTGGATTTTTTATGGGATTTTTGAAAAAAAAAAAACGTTAAACGAATTTAGCCAATACTTTTTGTAAGCTAATTAAAAAGTAAAAGGTTTTGATTGGACCGTTTTCGAAAGGTTAGTTTGTGTATGTTTTTAACTATTGATTTAATGTTTTTTTAACAAAATTAGATGTCTAGTAAATATGACGGTGGTCTAAAAGCTTACTAAACATTTTATTTATTATTATTTGTCATAAAAATCAGTTATTATTTTATTTATTCTTAAAACTAATCGGTATAAGGGGCTACATACATATAAATAGTTGAATAAATGGATTTTTCGAAAATATTTTTATTCTGTATAATGTCCAATGAATCTACGAAAATATATCACAATTTAGTAAACATTTAAAATGCTATCGACTTCTACATGTGTACAGCCCCTTAAAGTTTTCGGTAAACATCCAATGAATAACGTTTAGGAAATATTCACTGTGTACAAATTTTCATACTGAAAATGTAAAAGTGAGGTGGGGTAAGTTTTCAAGATCTCATTAATAATTTTAAACATTATAATTTACAACTAAAACAACAAGTATGCCGAATTTAAACAAACAACCAATTTAAAGCAGGTCATACACGTAACTTACGATATGACTGGCACTAGCTCGATGTTCTGTAGTAAAGTTTTCTTTTTTGTCTGATTTTTATATTAATTGAAGAATGTAGAGCTTATACAGGGATGTCCAGAAACTCTCATTTCAAATGAACTACGCCACTAAGAGCAAAATCTTACATACCATTTTGAACGTGTCAAAAAATTAAGAACTGTTTGGCTTAACAATATTTTTAATACTTACAGTTTTTATTTTTTTGCTAAACACATTGGTAGTAAGTATTGGGCAACCTATGCAATGATACAAAATTTAATTTTCTCGAAAAACGGGGCATACAAATAGAGAACCATACTGTTACATGAAAATGTTCAAACTGGACGACAGAAATGTTGAAAAGGCAAAGATAAATTATGATTAATATTGACCGATAGCCTCCCAAATGAAATGCTTATGATTACAATAAAATATGTGTGAATTGCTTGATGTTTTTATTCAGGATGTTTTGAATATGGAATAAATTGATGGTATGGCGCCATCTTTAAAAGGTTCTCTTTAGAAAGCATTTTTGTAAAAGGTAATTTTGTTTGTCTTTAAGAAGTGGGATAAAAACTTCAATGATTAATTTGTGCTGTTACATCATAAAACGTATACGTTGGGTCTAGAACCTGCTTTAAATTTTAAAAGCTAATACCCTTTTTTTAATTTAACTGACGGCAAAATTTATAGAATAACGTACAATTTTGATTTAAAATGTATCAATTAAAATATATAATAATTTTTACAATAATTTGCTTTATTTGCTTGGTAATTTGATAAAATATAGAAGTTTGGAAATTACATTTTATTAGTTTATGTTTATACGAACCAAATTACCTGTCATAAGGAGGATTTGTCGAGGATTTTTCAGAAAGGATCATAAATTGTAAAAAATAATGGTTACTTACTACAATGCGAGATTACAAAGCTAGAATTTTTAGAAATTATACTTACTGTTTGGATTGGGTGACTGGGGATGTGATATTTGATGTGTAGACAATAACTGTTCGGCACTTTGGTGTTGTTGGGCAGCAGCTTGGGCGGCTAGCGATTTTCTAGGATCTTCCCAGGTGGTTGTGCGGGTCGTGTGACTATAACAAAAAAACAAATATTTTAAAGACTGTATACACAGAAAAAATTATCATCTACATTCATGAAAAGCTTTACACTTGGAAGATTACATTTGTTTGAAATAAAGCAGAGTTTGCTTCAAATAATATTTATCGATACAATAAGAAAATAAAAGTTGTAGGCATAATCTTGTATTTTAAGATTTATAATAATTAATCTGAGAATAAATTATTTCATTCGAGTCTAGATTGTTAATTAATCCAAGAAAGCTCTTACATTTATTGTTAAGTATAATAGGCTCTTAAAATCGTCCATCGCGTAATTGATTCAATGTTATAAAAGGATTCGATTCAAAACATTTAAATTTCAGAACAAGAATTAAACAATTCTTATCAAAAGATTAGCGAGTACAAATTCACTGCACGGTGTTGCCAGCTAAAACTTATTTTAAAATGCAACCACTACACTGGTACGGTAGGTATATGACTGGTACATGTTGAGATGTGATACTTATTATTCGGAAGTCAGAGGCAGTCCCCGAGTGCCACATGTATTTTTAATTATAGGTAGGACACCTCAGAGGACAGAGGAATTTGGTACATTAACTAAAAACAATTTTGAAAAATGTTTTTCGGTGGATAGGTACCAGTGAGAACCCTATTAAAAAACAAGAACAGCCTGTTCTTATTTCAATATTATTAATTTCTTCAATGAAACTATCCTATAATTCAACCAAAATCAATATAGTTATGTCAAAGCCCATATTAACATTTCAAGTAAGTTCATATTATTATTGTAACAAATTTAGTTGTATTGGATTTAAGAACAAGGTATTATTGAATATAAATAAAGTATATTTAAAAAAAGTGTAAGACTATTTCATTTAAGATGTACATAATACTACAATTGAGCAATAACTCTTCATTTAATTAGAAGTATTTTAGTTAGGGCAAGTTGATTCTAATCTTGAAGCAAGAGCTACTGTTGGACAAGTATTACTAGAATTTCAAATCAAGACTAATTTTACTTGCGGATATGCAAACACAACAAAACATTGAAATAAGACCATTCATCTTGAACATAGTACACCTTTTTTTCTGTGTAGCCTACTAAAATGTATATATAAAGTATCAGCAACTGAACGTTTTCCATGTGAAAATTACAAAGTGTTAGCTATATTACGAGCAGGAAATGAATAATATCAGCGTTGTAACGTTGGCAAAATTGATAAAACATCCTGTATCTCGGTTATAAATGGCCAAATACCTATTAAACAGGGGTGGCCTCCATCCACAGTTAATGTATGTCCATATCTATATGTTTTTCCCAGCTAGATTTAATTAATTTATATTGTTTTTAAACGAGTTTACGTTAAATGAAAAATCATTTGATGCAAAAACAAAAAAATCATATTTTTATATTTTCAAAATAATACAGACTTAAATAAACTGCCCTCGAACTTTTCCGAATACCCCGGTATAATGTAGATACTAGGTCGACCTCCATAACTTTCAGCGCATCTTTTAAATTTGTTATGCGGACTTTGGACTGAGAGAAGCTAGAGTTCAAATCCATCAAGCATGAGTCGCCACCTCTATTCAACGTTCTCAACTAAAGTTTACAGTAAAACAATCGTATGTGCTGTGTTGTCGCAACTACTCAATTTTCATAAAAAATCAATTATTTTTACGGGATTTTATTTATTTAATAAATTTTCAGAGCTAGGTAAAATAAATAAATGTACATTGTAAGACAGATTTTTAATTTGTAGATTTTTCTGTCTTATAGGAGCTCAGTTTACAATTTTATTATAATTATGAACAGATACAGGTACAGAATTTTCAACATAGAAACTATACCTTATTCCAATATTTGTCTATATTTTATATAGGAAATGTTTTCCTTCGCAAATAATAAATATAATAATAATTATATTCAGTTATATCAAGTTATAAAAATTGATGTTATAAAAAGCTAATGAAATTTTATTTCAGAATGTGTCACAGAATTTTTAAAAATTGTAATTAAATGGTAAATAAACTCATATTATTTATATAAGGCTGTATATTGTACAAATCCTGTGAAACTCTAGAAAGTTTAAATTATACAGTATGTTTTCCTAAAATTAGTAATAAAAAAGCTTTCCTATGCCACCAACTGTCTACGTAAATTGGCGGCATATGAAAAAGTTGTTCTTTATAAAAAGTCGAGCATGGTCTAAAACCTAAAATACAACCATCAAATATCAAATTTTATCAGTCGTATAAAGAATAAAGGTACTTTACTCTTGAGTAAAACTCATATTTTTTGACAAACCTCGTATACCACTGAAACAATTTGATATCTGATGACTGTATTCTAGGTTTAGGATAATGCAGAACTTTTTATTAAGAATAACTTTTTTCCTAAAATTAATAATAAAAAAGTTTTCCAATATGATTCCAACTTAGGGGGACATACTGTATATGGTTAGTGTTTGTACGTACATGGGCATAACTATTCGGTAAATGAAGAGGCTAAGCAAACCCTTTTGAGTATTTAGTACATCGATCAGAGAAATATCCCTTGGAAAAACTTCACATTAACGAACAACTCAGTCGTTTAAACAGCATAATTAGAATGTGGATGATATAAAGAAATTAGACGAGGTTTAAAATGAACTGACAGGCTCGTCAAAACAGTACCATTACTTTCTAATATAATTAGTATTTTTACGTAATAAAAGGCAGTTAAATACAAACCAATATCTTTTATTCTTTAGTGATCATAAAAGTTGGCAACATCTCAAACTTAAGACAAAGATTATGAGCAGTTCGATTATCGGTTTCTGTTCTCTGAGGTTCTCATAATATTCAAAAAGCAAGCAAGGAAGCAAGTAAAGACAAAACGTACATACCTAGGTACGACAGAAATAAATACCAGTGCCTCAAAACAAACCTTTAATTTATTAACCATAAACAATGGTGATATTATTTGAATCTATGAATGGAGTAGAAATTATATAATTTGTGTAAACAACCACTGACTCGTGGAAGATTAAATACAGGAAATGAAACGTTGTTTGTAATATACGTTTTAAAATTCATCAATATACCCAGGTATCTACCTATCACGCTTTTTACAATACATAATTTATTAAAATTTTATTTGGATATTTGGGAATTATCTGTCATTTAATTTTAACAAACTTATTATAAATTAAAAGCCCAGACAGTATTCCACCAAAAGATATTTTCAACCACTTTTCAGTTTTCCTATGAGTTGTTTACAATTTCAAATTACCAAAATAAATAAAGTATTCAAGAGTACACTCTCGTGTATATTCAGGGTCGTATTTAGATAAGATTCACAAAATTAAATAAAATAAATAGATCATTAATTAAACTACAAAAGAAAGTAAAAGTTAGATTAAAAAATAAAAGCACACAACAACATAGTACAAAAAAATCACAAGTTGCTTTCCATCGCCAACAACGGGGAGAGTATCCTTGTCTTGCTCTCATCAATTGGATACCCTCTATTAAATTGATATATTTATATATTTCAAAGTAAAAGGCTTGTTAATGTTACTACTTGAGTTATATACGTAGAGGGGCATACAAAGTTAGTACATAGACGTCACAACACAGGATAAAAACTTTTCTCGTTTGGGGGAAGTCGCCAAGCTGAACACAACCAGAAAACTGCCAACGGTAAATAGAAGGAGCACCCAGGACTGAAAGAATTAGACTGAAAGCAGGCCCTGCTTCTATACGAAATAAATGATATGGGGATAGGCAATGTCCTGTCCTCATCCTAATTATTGTAGTTAAATGTCTTCTGTCCTTGTAGGGAAAATTAAAAAACCAAGGGATTTTATCAAATCGTGGAACGACTTTAGAATAAATGGAATTCTTCCTACTCTTGAGGCTATTCCATTCTTCAAGCCATCTTGAATTCACAATGTTTCTGATTAATGGAAAGAAATTATGATAGTTTAATTTGATATTCACTGGAATAATTCAGAGATCTTCCTATATTTGCCAATTGATCTGTCGTGAAGTTACCCAGAATCCCAGAGTGGCCTGGAATCCATGCCAAAATTATTTTGATGTCTTCATCTTTTGCGAGTAAGATACCGTTCTTAGTCAAGAAGGACCAATGTTCAGTTTCCCTGGAAAAGCATGATCTTGCAGCTTTGGAGTCTGAGAGGATAATGGATTGGACGATGATTTTGTCTAATATTACTTGCAAGGCCTTGTTGATAGCAATAACTTCTGTGAAAATTTGAGTATGGAAAGGAAGCTTAGAAGATGAGCTTGAGAATGCATAATCTATATCTGGACTATACACTCCAAACCCTGAGTGACCGGAAGAGTCTATTGAGTCATCTATAAAGAACTTGGTGTAAGATGGGTATTTCCTGATGATATTCTGATATTGTACAATTCCTATACTTTCAGATTTAGTAGCGCCAATGTTTACGATAGCAATGGAGGCCAATTGGGGTTGGAAATCATAACATGGTAGAAGCTCTGAAGTATATAAGTGAGGATTCACGACATCGAATTGACTGATGAGCTGGATTAGTCTTTCCAGTTTTCTTAAAGCAGTAATAATGGGATTGTTTACCAAAGACATCTTTTTAAAATACACGGGATGGTGTTAGTAAAGCCCAAATAACAAAAGATTGTTAAATTTTCACTGACAGCGATGTTTACACTTCGGATGTCAAAGCAAAAGTCGAACCGTTTACTCTTTTGCACTCGGCTTTTGTTTTTAATATTTATGTTTCTGAGGGTGGCTTAAAAAGTAACTCGGTGGTCAAACATGGTCAAGGATGGTCAAACGTATCCAGCTTTTAAAATTAAAATTTCGAGGGAATTACAATCAGGTTATATGAATATAATACAATAAATTTTAATTCAAAATGTCCTGTAGTAGAAGCGTCGGTTGATTAAATATTTTCTGCGTCATTCATATTTTATGACGTAAAGCGTCGTGCTGTCGTCGTCTTTCCATTCATATATTAATACTTCAC